GAATATCATTATCACGGAAACTATAGACTATAGTGAATAAACTAATATAAACATTTCTACTGCAAATTTTGTCAGCTTTAATTTCACATGTCACACCATTATAGATATAACGCATAGTTTTACTGATATAAGCGAAAAACCGATAAAAGTAAACTTTTTAATCATAAATTCAATTTTTCGACTTGAAATCTACGAGTGTGGGCTAACTGACTTTTATTTCATGTCTTAAGACTGTAAATAATTTAAATTGAAAGTGTTGGTGGCTTTATATATCTATAAGCTCACTCTATATATACGCGTGCAACCTATAATAGGTCTCTTTTATCTTCACATGGCCGCCATTTTGTATTCTAGCGGCTTGATATCTTCTCCAGGACGAATAGGTGCTTGCCAGCCAATGAATTGCTACGACCGTTGTCACTTGCTTTAAATAAAAATATAATTCAAACAATATAAAGGTATCTATCGTTCCCCAATATTAAACATACAGTTAAAAATCAGAAGGCAACTCAACCGTTCATGAACTATCTGTAAAATCGAAGTTTTCAACAATATTACTAATCGACAATTGGATATCGCTAAACTAAATTTCTGGTTGCTGCAGAGTTCAAAACTGAATATAAAAAAAAAACTCCCATAAACAACCCCCATTGGCATCATACATGCATTGGACGTATCACTTCCTGAGACTTTTGCCGTCTCGAGCGAGGTCATGATTTTTCAATTTTAGTATTAATAATTAATGTGTGAAAATAATAATGATTTGTAGTTTCAATTTATTTATCTCTCGATCAATTAATGGGAGAACATAAAAAACTATTTATTAAAATACGATTTTTACTAAGTTGGAGTAGCGATGTGGTTTTATAGTTTATAACAATATTGAAGGATTTATAATAATCAAGGCTACAGCTTACATTAAAATTTCTTCGAATTACAACAGCGTATATAACGGTTATAACGAGGTATCGGCTTTAACGACGAAAAAGCCATGTTCGATGATTCAGATGGCTTTTATAATGTGATTTTGAAGAGATATAAAGATTGGATTTGACTCGATTTCTTAAGAGTTTTTAGAAAAAATTATCGTATATAGAGACATTTGAACTCCTATAAACTTTCATGTTTATATCTCACTTATCGAGGAAATATTTTATTTCATTCGTTCTCTATGTAAGAATCACATTTATTGGGCCAATTTCATTCCCACTCTTAGTGTTAAATTCATATTTCTGTTTAGTAGTTTAATAAGAATAACAAAGAGCAAAAGAGTTCTAGATATAAGAAATAGTCTATACATGTTGCCGACTGGAGACTGAAGAGTCTAATATCTTGGCTCAAGAATTCAACATAAACCTTACAATTTGAATAAATTACGAATCTAATCGAAGACATGCTGAATCAGTTATATCCAAAAAATAACGATTACCTATCTACTCACGACAAAATCGGTTCTTCTCAATATTCCGCAATTAGACAAGGAGCTACCGACAATTTTATTTAAAGGAAGGACTTATAGCTAGTAACCATTTTAAATTCTAGATAAACCTCATGTGAGCACACAACTTCTTTCAGTCAGTTTAAAACTTCCTTTCTATAGGAAAATTTAAATTAACGAGGCAAAATTTGATGGTCCATTTAACGGAAAAACTGACAGCTGAAATTTTAATATGATGTAAAGAATATGTTCCTAAAAGAATAAACCTTGACTGACGACGTCAAAGTCATCACATTAGGGCAGTCCGATAGTAGTTGGTTGAAAAAAAAATTCAAATAGTCGGTTTCTCTTCCGTTTTTTATGTTTATTTGGGATTCTGATCTGAATTTGACGTTCCCGAATGAAATGTTCCATTGCGTATCGAGATATACGCAAAAACATCAAAATTTCTGAACTTTTTTTAGTTTTTTGGACATGACTCCGAAATTGTGCATTTTATCGAATTTATTATTATATACAACGTTAAAGAAGATTAAATTTACTATCAATTTTATGCATAGCTTTTTGATGTAGGGCTAACGGGTGAGTAGTAACAGAATATTGACTGTTTGCATTTTTCGTAAGAAAAATCTATTTTTTTCCATTTTCCCTGAAAACTCAAAATCTATGCATCTAACCAAGAAATTCAATATAATCAAATTGAAAGAGCATTAAGTTTCATATGCACCTCATACAGACACGTTAATATGTAAGAAGATTAAACGGCTGTTAAAGCTCAGAGAATTGAAGTCGTATTTCCCTTGTAGTATCTGTTGTTCACAAACTAAGTGTTTTTATCTTTTCAATGCTTTATTTTCGGCTAATTTAACTATTTTATAACAGAATTAGGATGTATGAACATATTACATAGCTTTTATATATTCTGTTGATATGCATAACAATCATCACGAGATTAAGGACCAAAATGCGTTTTAAAGTCGGAGCGGTCCAACGACATTTTGCTCATTCGCATATTACGACTCTACCTAAGCATGAATTATGTGAAGCTGCCAACGTTCTCCTTTAGTTAACCAACGAATAGATGTATACTTACAGATAGTAAATAGTATTGTTATATTTTTCTTTTTTAAAAAGCACTGTTTTAACTCCATTTTGCTTACATTTTATTCATTAACCTTGTTTAATTCCAATATAACGGCTAGGGCGGTTATTGACAGTGACAACTGGATAGATATAGGTTATATAACGATATACAATTATACATTATAACAACGAAAATTAACCAGGTTTCTTAAGGTCGTTATATTAATCCACTGTGTATTAATTCCAATTTAAAAAGAATATTTTCGAATTTAAACAATTCCCTGACTTTAAAAATTTTTCCCTGACTTTTCCAGATCAGTCGCCACACTGTATAAATATTTAATTTAATGTATGACCACACAGGCATATTTTCTGTACCTATAATTTGCCCTAAAGGGACAACAGTCCCCAGGACAATAAAATAAAATTTCATTTCATTTCATTACTAATACACAAAAGACGTGCATCAAGCACTGAAGATGTATGTAGCTAGAGAGGTGCAGACTGTGACACAGATAGTATCACAGAATATCTGACAATCTTCCTTTAAACATAAAATATTCCTGTGATCTCGAACAGCTGTTGGAAAACTACAAGTATAATGTACATTGACTTTAGTCATAGACTTTTATGTACCTTGGTTTGATCATAACAGATGACAACAGAATGAAAGAACAAGTGAATACTAGGGCTGTTTGCATGTAACAAGAAACATTTAAATTCAAAGCTATCCGAAACTATCCTGAGACCCACAGTTACTTATGGTTGTGAATACCGGGTATTGATGACAAATGAAAGTGAAAGAAGATTCAATGTCTGGGAAAGGAAAATACTCTGGCAGATACAGTACGGCCAATAAGAGAAACTGGTACATGGCGATTAAAGAAGAATTGTGAGATTTGTGCAGTATATAGGATAATAGACCTGGCATCCTAAATGAAAAAAGATGGCTTGGACATTTTGAAGTGATTCAAAGATGCCTGCTGTAAGGAAAAATCGGAAGGAAAGGATGCAGAGAAAGACCAAGAGTGAGATGATTGCATGATGTCAAGGAGGATCTTAAACTGCTTGGAGTAAGCAGATTGAGGACAAGAGCAAAAGATAGGAATGACTGAGTTGAAGTGATTAAGGAGGCCCATTGTAGTAGACATCCCCTGTATTTACTCCTTTAGACGACATTGTGTGGGGGAATGAGAAGGAATATATAATATATAGGAATGTGAGGTTGCACTGTGAATTGTACTCAATTGTGCAGTGGACAAATTGCTCATTGGAAAATCTCATATCGATAAACAATCGAAAAGAAGAAAAAAAGGTCAGAGCAGGTAGCTGGGAACAGATGGCGAAGAGGACGCCAAACACTTGAGGCCTGGACACCAACACAAGACGACATCTGGGAAGAGAGGCTTACTACATTGAAGACCAAGAATATCAAGCCTACAGTTATTAGACTTTAATATATTCATTTATTATCAGTTGTTAAAATAAATTGTTTTGTTAGACAGGAGTGAATAGTCCTTTTATTTAGTTGTCTTATAGGCGTCACAATTGAAGAATAAACCAGGTGAGTCAATTCATTCAAAGTGTTTACCAAGTCCCACATTTAATATATGTATTCTTATTGTTTCTTCTCACACAGTGTCACAAAAGTATTAGATTCCCAACAACAGTTAAACACTCTCAAAAGTCTACATCCAGTGCCGGGGTTTTGTTTTAATAATTAACAAGTGTAAATAACCTTAATCCCCGATATAAAAGCGGAAGGCTATTCGCTATTCCCACCAAAACATCTTTATTTTTTGTCCAGTGACCAGCAGCAAGTAAGTGAATGGATAGATAAGGCGATGTATACTGTGCACTGTGCAACGGTCTAATTATTATTTCCCTTCCCCCCAGGATAGATGGACAAAAGATAATGCTTTATACAGGCAGTCTTCCTTATTTCAGTACTCTTAAGTGTTTTGAGATCTTTATTTTCCTCTGATAACTACTTACTGAGAAATACATTTTTTTTATATTTCCTCTTTATGTAATAGCACAAATTAAATGATAACTTATTAATTCTTATAAAATATTTATGAGTTCAAAACAATTAAGAGTAAGGAACGAAGACAAAATGTGAATCTTCTGTCCACACGGGGTGGAAACCATTTTGCGAGATTAGGTTGTGTGGACTTAGGGAGACCTTAACATTTTTCAAGATTGCGATACCTTTTTCGGACGGGAGGGTTGACATATCTGTCCAGAACAACAGAACTCTACACTACACTACGCCACCGATTATAATATTAGCCATATATTTATTAATTATAGATTACATGAAAATTTCCTAATAGCAGAGGTGTTTCAGATTCGTTTGGCTTTAAGAGGTAAAAATCACTGCTCTGAAAAAAAATTTTGATTTTCTTTTTAGGACTTAACCAGGTATTTTGCTAGCCAATACTGATAAAAAAAAAAATTAAAAAAAAAAAGCACTTACACTGACTTCCCAATTTTCGTCACTTTTTATTAAAAGGGGTTTAGCTTTTGTTAGTTCTAGTTTGGGGGCATTAGAAGATCCGACCTTACATGTGAATGAATCCAAGACGATCCTGTCACAACAAGCCGCTATGTGGTACTGTAAAAATGAACAAATTCACAGTAGATATTAATTGTCCAAATATTTATATAAATAATATTTAAGGGTATTGCAAATATTTTTTAATATTTAATATTGACTCACTACCTTTCGAGTTGTTAGATCTTAAAAAAATTATTTATACCAGGGTTCTCCAAACTTTTTGGCCCACAGGTCACATTGAAATTTCCGTAAAGGTCTGCGGACGAGATTAAGTCGGCCCTCGACTCAAGTTCCACAGGCCATGGTTTGTGACAATAAAAAAGAATTACTTGTAAGTATGAGTGATTACTTTGAAAATAGTTTATGACTTTATATTTATATCTTCAACAATCATTATTGCTTCATATTGGCATATTGCAGATAAAACATTATTCAATTAAAATGTTTTACGATATTTGGTTTTAAATATATGTATATTTAAAAATCTAACAAGATGTTTTACACATACAATTCAAAAGCATAAATGAATTATTTAAAATAATAATTTGCTAACACTGCATTTAACTTATTTTATTCCTGATTATATTATAACTCAAATCACTTCTAATTAGTGTATAATTTAAATTTAAAAATGTGTTAATATTCATTTTAAAAAACTATATAAAATTAATAACATTCATTAAGGTGTTTTCACCTTTTCTGTATAAATATATTACATTAGTTTTAAAAACAATAAAGATGTAAGTTATTATACATATATACATATATATATATATATATATATATTGTTTTTATTGATATCCTTTACATTTCCTTATTAAATATTATAAACAGTAACCTACCTGCAATTTACATTAAATAAAAACATGGAGATCGGTAAAATATAACCTATAAATCTGCCTGGAGATGAAAAAAGGTTGGGGACCCTGTCCTATGATTTTATTTAAAAATATATATATCTTGACCATGAAACGGTCGCAATACCCTTAAAATAAAATAAATTGAAGAATAGTTAATAATAATAATAATACAATAAGAAGAGTAATTAATGAAAATAGATACAAATGAGAGTTTATCACTCTTGAAGAAGTCACTCCTAACAGGAACCAATATTAGAAACAATATAAAATCCTAGGTATTGGTTCACATGAGCCCCGCACGGACTATGCGCAGTTCACAATCAATTCGGTCACATTTGCTGGTGAATGCGTTCGGGTTTGTCGAAAAGTGAATGAAGACAAACCAATCTCTTGAGTCAGTTACTAATAATTTTCTCGCCATTAAAGTACTTTTATACGCTTAGCAGCCATGTACAGTTTTACAGCATTAGCAGACTTATATTCGACATTTAGGTTACATTACATAACCTTAATTGAACTTATATTATACAGCTGTAGATAAGAAATAGTAATAGATAAAAATCTTTAATTATTATATCACTGAATGCTATTTCACGATATTTCTTTTTCTTTTTCCATTATTCATTATCTTATATTAATCATTATACTAGAATCTTATATCTAAGAAATCCACAAAAAGCTACAGAAATTCAAAGCCCGATCTTAAATCTGACAATATTTTCATAAAAAGCCCGATCTTAAATCCAACAATATTTTCATAAAAAGCCCTGACAACTAAAAAATAGATAATACCAAAAAAAGTTATATAAACTTGATGTACAATCTCAAATCAGACAGTATTTTCATCAAAAGTGCCTCTGACTAGAATAGTGGACCCTTATATCAAAGAAATCCAAAAAGTTACATACACTAGATAAACGATTGCACAATTCTAAAAAATGCTTGTTAAAAGAAATTTTAAATTCAATTATTCTAACTATTATTTGAAAAAACTCCAATAACAAATAAAAAGATAATGGTTAACTTCAGATTATTTATTATCCAAATGCTAATAAAAAAATCTTTTATATACAGTTATAAAAAATAATACATAATGGTATATAAGTATTTACAGCAAGTACATCTAAACACATGTCAATAAAAATTTTATTGCTAAAAGCATTTTTTTAACAGAACTTCAAGGCAGACTCAAATATTATTTTATATATTTTATTTATTTTTCATTTGACAATTTTCGGCATTTTATGAACAAGTGAGACAGAAGTGATTGTGAACCAAGAGGTGATTCTACAATGGATTCCGAGGCACTGTGGGCTTGCGAGGAATGAAATTACAGATCGATTAGCTAAAGAAGGAACATCGTTCCCCCAACTTAGCAGCATACCTAGGAGATTGGAGGAGTGCAAAACCATTAACAAAGACTCCCATAAAGCCAAAGGTGTTAAGCAAGTCAACCAAATTACAATCCTCATGACGATTTTTTTAAGCTAACCAGAAGAGAGCAAGTCGTCATTTTACACCCCAGGACTGGAAATAGGCACCTAAAATCATATCTCTTCAAGAAGTTCAAGATTGGGCCCAGTCCCTTATGTGAATGTGGCCAAAATGAAGAAACCACAGAGCATGTTCCGCAAAACAGCGAGCGGTTGTAGGATATACGGAAACAGATATGGTCCCAATCTACAGACCTTAGGAGAATCACTAATTTTTTTTTTTTTACTTCCTAACATAGCCATCTAGAGAGAAGAAAAAAGTAAAATCTTACAATAAGTATTGTAAGATTATAATACTTACATCTAACTCCACCTTGGGGACAATATGCGTCGAATTGAATGGACATACAGCCTTCTCGCTTGCAGGATGTTGTGCCCTGCATTTAGTCAGGTGAAATTGCATACGACTTGAGATGATAGAATGCGACTTGTTGTAAGGGCAAATTAATGTTGGTTCAGCTGCATCCATTATTCTGAAGAAAATAAATTAATAATTTAAAATAAGACTCAAAGGAAAAATAAATTCTTCACTGACAGTATAAACAGTAATTATTTGATAATAGAGAATAATTCTAATTAAACACAAAACTATGGGAAGGAAGATTTCTGAATGGGGAAGGAAAAAGAAAAAAAAAATACAGTTTTCTTAAAAATATATTATGCTGTACTTACCAACATCTACGAAAACTGGTAATTATTTAAAGTTTCCGATGAGCTAAAAACCCCTCTCTGATATGAATAAGAACTGATATACACCCCTACTCCCGAATCATTAGAAGGCTTTCAAAAAATGTGTTAAAAAGTTTTTAAAATTCAGACAGTTCCTTTAGTCCAACAGCCCGTGAAAAAAAAAAATTGACATCGCAAGAAAATTTTAAGAGTATTTTTTTCAATATTCGTAAAATTTTATTTAAAAAATGTATCTGCCAGTCGAATCATGCTACCTAAAAGAATGGCAGCTGATTTAAAGAATATTAGGCCAGTAACTTGAGGATCAAAACAAGAAAACTTTTTACATAAAAAAGGCAAGATTTGTTTTTTTCACCTTTAATTCCTTAACAATGCATTAAAGAGGAAAACATACTCATTAAGGAATGTTAAATTGTGCATCCTGCAAGTACCTAAAATTAATAATTTGGTTGTGGTATGATCAATAAACGCGGTCAACAAATGCTGATTTTTACCAAATATGTCAAAAAATAAGACAATTTACTATAAATGTCCTTTCAGCTTGAAAATGAGTTGCTTGAGAGAAAAAACTCATAGAATAAAAGTTGTAGAGCAATACATCTTGTATCCACTGAGTACAAACAGTTTTAATGTTGGTCACTTAGTCCACTCAAAATCGGTAATCTTCCGATGACTAGAAATAGGTAATGAAGATATCTATTATTTAAAATATTTCAACAGTACGGTTTTCTATTCTAAAGAGTTATTCTTATTTAAAGTCTCCTATACGTAGTTCTCCCATAAGTACTGTTACAAAAGTTGAACTTAGTTTACATTCTTGGGTATTATTTAGATAAACCTTACCTCTATCAGGTTATTTTCTTTACATGTCAGGATAATAATTTTAATTATTTTATATTTTCCTTTCGCTCAGTTAACATGGAGTGGGATGATAAAGAAGAAACCTGTGATGCCTTACACAAAGTAGGAAAATGAATGTCAGAGGATTTCTAACACTTTGAAACCTTTGGGTATCAGCTGCATGTTCGCGTACGGCACTACTATAAATAGATATAATGAGACCCTATCGGTATGTGACAAACCTAGTCCCCACACTGTGAGAACGGCAAATACAGTGAGAGCAGTGGCTGTTCGAACCAGAAGAAATCCCATTCGAAAACAACAAATCATGTCTTGGGAAAAGGGAATCTGTCAGATCAATGTCTCACATAATAAAAAGACCTTAGGATGGCTGCATTTCGAAGAACGACAGGACAAAGGCTAACCACTTCCCTAACAAAATTAGAGTGGATAGGTGCTAAGTGCTCCTTGGCCGTTACACCACTGGTATTTTTTTGATTTTGTTTAGCGATGAGAACATTTTTACAATTGGAGAAAAATTGGACGGCCAAAATGATCGTGTGAACACACACAGCTCTAAAGAAGCCCAGGAAGTCATTGGAAGAGTGGAAAGAGGTCATAGCCCTTCCTCAGAGATGGTTTGGAGGAGAGTTTGCTTTGATGGCACCACAAAGCTCCATTTTTGTGAAAAAGGAGTTGAAACAGCCGCTAAAAACTATCAGATGCAAAGCCTCTGAATGATACTCTGTTTTCTGGAAGTCATGAGGTTTTCCAGCAGGATTCAACTCCAGCTCACAAGACAATGTCAACTCAGCAGTGGCTGTAAAAGAACATTCCAGAGTTCATCTCTGTCTAGGATTGGCCCTCAGAATTTCTGATCTGAACCCACTAGATTATCGACCTTGGTCCAACTGGAGAGGATGGCATGCCACAGAGCACACCATAACTTGGAAAACCTCAAACAATCTCTGGTCCGAGCAGTTGAGCACTTTCCTTAAGAAGTGCTGCGTACTACTATTGATGACTGGCCACGGAGATTAAATGCCTGTCTCAAGGCAAATGGGGGACATTTTGAGTAATTTCTTTTTTGTTTTACTCTCTATAGATATACATAATATTTTCTAATAAAGTTTTCCTTGTAACAATATTTATGACACGACTAGGTATGCAGCAGCAAGCAAGGATTTTGAGAAATGAGATGTCAAAAAACAAAACTAATTTCATGAAGAAATAACGAATCCTAATTCAAGAGATATATCGGATCTACATTAAAAGTGATGGTAATCGTTGGACACGAAAATTGATGCTTTACAACTTGTATTCTGAGTTTATTCTCGAAGGAAATTCATTTCTATCTAGAAGGGCCATTTATAGTAATTTGTCGGTTTTTAACCAATTAGGTGAAAATCAGAGTTAGTTGACAGTAGTTATCGACCATACACTTAACTAAACTATTCAGTTTAGGTGCTTATTCGAACCACAACTAAATGTTCTTTAATCTCTTTAAGAGAATGTTTTTCACTTGATGCACCGATTAGGATTTATAACTGAACAAACAAAAAATATCGAAAAAAAAAATCAGACTTTTGGCTATAAAGTTTTCCATTGGTGGACTGCATTAGAAATTTTGTTTTTTACATGTTTAAACCCATATATACAAATTAAAAACTTTTCCCACATTTTTTGCAATTTAATTCAAATTTGGATCCACAAGTTATATTCTTTGAATCAGCTGGTTTTTTTTTTTTTTGCACTTAGCTGGCAGACTCCCATATATTTTTTTATTATAAATGTTATGAATATTTTAAAAAAATACTTTCAAAATTTTTCTCAGATAATGTTAATTTTTATTAATGGACTCTTTTTTTTCTTTGCACTAATAATGAAAAACTTTGTGGACGTCTAGCTATTCGTATAAAGTTTTGGGAAAACTCTTCAGAGCCAAATAACATGCTTACCAGGGATCAAAACTTTTATAAAAAGTCCCATTTTAACAATTTCTATTAAACTATTTAGGTTCTGTTAAATAAAAAATAAACAGTTATTGGGCTCAGATTAGAGTTATAATTTGTCTTTAAGAATTACACATAATTCTAATGGGTCGTTTGTTTGAGTAGCAGCTATGAATAATAGTAATTTTTTAGATAAGACTTTTTAGCGAAATTTTAAATTAAATTTGTTTTTTAAATATAAGTTATTTAAAACCTTTACTTGAAAAGTTGCAAGTGTAAACGTTCTAGTTCCAAAAGAACTAAAAAACTAGTGACAATAAAAATTTCAGTGATACCGAAATTTAAAAAAAATATTCTACTGTTTCAAGTATGATACTTAAGTCTTAAGTAAATCAACACTTCACATCTCATAAGAACGGAAAAGTAATCATAATAGTTCAATATGAAAAATTGTTATCAATTAGGATGATGTAGATTCCTAATAAATTTAGTTCCAATCACTAAAAATAATTATAAGTATATTTGAGTTCATGTAACTAGTGTTAGTTTTTTCTAAGATGTACTGTGTAAAAAAACACGAATGATAATCCATATATAATAGGATTGAAACCACGATGCACAGCAGCTAGTGATATGATCAATTATAAACCACTGGAATTCAACTGGTTGTTGATTAAAATTACGACTGTATAAAATGCTAAACAATAAGCTAATTAATAATTTTAATCAATCCACAAGGGCTAATATTAGTAGTTGTAGTAAGCTCTTTCAGAGTAGAACGTTCAGATTCAATCATGTTCAGCTTAAGAGATTATGAGGTCAAAGGTGCAAGTCCAGAATCACTAATACTATCTGTGATAAATACTATAAAAAACAAACATTTCAATATGAAAGCTGTATTTTATTAAAGATTTTAATAATACTTACCACAATAAAAACCTAATTCACAGTTATATGACAGTAAACACATCGAATAAAAGCTTTGTTTTATCAGGCAATGTACTTGTTTTAAATGTTATCATTATTTTTTAAATGTACATTTATATTGATAAAATTATCTTGAAAACAGAAAAATATATAGGGTCAAACTTCTTAAAAAGAGATATAGGTTATAAGACTGTTATGGGAGATATCTGTATCATTAAATTATAACAGATTACTATTTTAACATATCAAATAAAAATCAAAACTGATGTTAAATTCACTTTACATTTAATGTCTGACAATCTAGATTCAATTCGTATGAAAACTTTAAAGAATTTATAATTCAAGTAGTAAACTGCCTCATAAGACAAATTAAAATTAAAAAATGGATTAATTAATTCATTATGATGCTGAGTACTTTTAGCTGATTCATTATCAATTTAAATCGCCAAAGATTCTGTTACCTAATACAATAAGAAACCAAAATTACTGTTATGTATGAATATAAAATATGACATATGTTGAAGAAGATTACTTCTATTCCACACATGATTAATAATATCATTAATCATAAAATAGATGAAATAAACAGATGGAAACTTGCCTCGCCAGAGGGGGACCCTAGGAAGATAGTTTGAATGTTATTGCTTGGCGCTCCTTTTAACGACTGGCCTAAACCAGGGCAGTGTTGCTAGAAATCACTTCCTATTCCTTCTTGTTATAACAAGATCAACGTCTCCATTAATATTTCATTATATATTTAAACTTTTTATAAATATAGAATATATTTTATTTTAAAAAAAATAACATTTTTAAATTGTCTTCTAATTGTTGTGTAAATGATTTTATGTTTATCCAAAAAGTATAATAGTGTACAGGAAGTATTCATTTATACTAGTTTCAATATTTGAATTTGAATTAATGGCTACCTCTGGAATTTCTAAGTAGTGTTTAAACATTAAAAAAAAAAACTAGTAGGCCCGTGCGAAAAATTCGCACAGCATATTGTTATCAAATGCCAGATTAATAAGAAAATAAAATAATCCAACCTATCAAAAGATAAAGAAATCAAACGTTACTATATCGAAAAATATAATCGACAAAGAAAACAAAAATTAATTTAAATTTTCATTTTTGTTTGGAACCAACATGTTTACAAATTTCAGTAAGCTGTATCTTTGCTAAAAATTGTGCGATTTCGATGATTTTTTTTTTCATTTTGTAGGGACTTATAGTAATCTTTTATATAATGACCGGCATAACCAAGGGAAAAGTGTGTAATTTTTTAGTTATTCGCAAATAAAGTTTGTTTTCTTTTATAACTTTTTGCCTGAATTTTCGGGATGATTGGACTATTTTGTACGCCTGAAGAAGGAAGCCTTCGAAATTGGTGGCTCAATCTTGAGATTTGGTGAAAAATTGACGATGATATGGCTTGCCGATCAAAAACACCATCGATAAATAATATAAACTCCTCCTCTCTCGATCATAGAGACCTCAAGTCGACGAAATGAGACATGTATTCAATGACAGTACTACAATTAATGTAAGGTTGTGTGGATGCGAACCCTATGCCTTGCGTTATCTCGAAAATAGTACGTTTTTGGGCTTAAAAACGCAGGATCCGATAGTTCCGGAGGAACTATCCGGGTCTTGCTGTATGCATCAAAATCTTCAAGATCCAATTTGTCCCGTATCGATCTACAGACCTACCACCGTTCCAGTATTGAAGACTAGCAAAATGTTTGTATCGACTTTATTTATTTTAGAAAGAAAAACAAAAGTGAAGAATACGATTCGCTAATCCCCCGTGAAATTCTGAATCCAACGGTACCCCATTCATGGTATTTGAGCATGACAGGAGCTTATATTTGGTACAAAACCGATTTCGAGCCTTACTGTAATAATATATGTACGGATATGGGAAAACCCATTATTTAAATGCATATTTAATGTTAGTGTTTTTATGTTTTACATTTGCTGTACATTTGTATCAAGAGAAATAAAATAAATAGTTTGGTTTAGCTTAATGTTGCTGTTAAAGGCCCTTACACGGTCAGTATCGAGTTTAATCAATATATTGAGCGTGTAAAGACTACATTGGCATCAATTATATTGACGTCAATCAAACTGGTTGATAAAAATTTGTTTGGTTTTTATTGAAGTTCCTTCAATATTATTGAAACAGTATCACTAGCGGATCCAGGATTTAATTTTTTTTTGGGGGGGGAGGCTTCAGCCCAAAAGATTTTTTTTCATCTACATATAACAATAATTAATTTGAAAAAAAAATAAAGAAATTAATTACTTATATGAAATGGTGTTTAAGTGGTTCTTGAAGTCCTATTAAATATAATTACACGAACAAGAATACTTGAAGAGATAGTTTTTAATATTTTTTTCTGTAAAACATGGTTATATTTTACCATTTTGGGGGGAGGCTTCTGTCCGAAAGTCAATATAACAGTGTCAATATAATTGAACGTTTAAGAGCTATATTTAACCACATATACGGAACTTCAGAAGCTCTGGGCGATAACAAATTTCCAGCAAAATGTAGGGAGTAATACTTTTTTTTTGGGGGGGAGGCGTTTAATCCCCCTCCGATTTTTTTTAAATGATAAAATGGATAGATGTTTTGTTAGGTGGGTGATACTTTCTTCTACTTTTTTTTGGGAGGGGGAAGGGTTAACCCTCCCTCCTTCCTCTATAGAATTTTTACTTTCACTTACGTATTTATGTAATATATAGTAAGGGTAAGTATTGCGATCGTGAAAATTTTCAGCCCGAAAGCCCCCCCCCCCGTAGATCCGCTCGTGGATGTCAGAGCAACTTTTTCCTCAAAATCGGCTAACCGGAAGTGGCACTTTATATGATGGACTAAACACATTTTTATGATTTTCTCGAAAATGGCTCTAACGAATTTGATTAAATTCATCATATCAGTATAAAATTAAGCAGTTTTAAATAAAATGTAGTTTTTATTCTGATTGATGTTCTTTAACAAGGCATCAATGGCTAATTTTCAATATTAGCTTCCTCTAAATTTTTTTATTTGAAATAATTGACCATTTCACATTAATCTGTAATATAAAGGATAGTTAAATATAAAATATGAAAGAATTTTATAATTAACTGAAGGAGAAATAAGAGATCGTAATGGAGAATAGTTGTAATTGAAGAACCAAAGGAATAGGAGCTCGCCCAAAAGATTAGAACAGGCTTTTAAGTGTAACATGAGCTTAATATAATACGAACTCTGACGATATTTATAAATATACATAAGCGGTTTTCATAAATGCGATTATTGGTATTATTTAATTGTATAGATTACAGAAATATAACTATTAAAATTTGTATATATATATAAGATTACTTATATAAATCAAAATACCCACAATGAAATATAAACAAATACAGCGTCTATAATTTTTACTTTCACTTCCCTCTGTCTGAAAATACTTATTTCTGCTAAGGGGGTGATAAGTGAAAGTTGTGTGATGCGCGCAACGCACCTGATTTTTTTTAATGCTAAAGCCAAGGTGATTACTGTAATAGTTAATTCATTATTATTCATTTCAATAAAAAAGAAAGATTACCTCTTTGGATACCTCCTTGATTAGTGGAAACAAGATCTTAAATGATATAATATTGACTCAATATAATTGACCCATGTGAGGTATCCCTTCAATATATTGCCTTCAATTATATTACATCAGTAATATTGGCTCAATAATATTGACCATGTAAGGGTCCCATAAGTTAGATAATTGTGTTTTCCATAGTTTTTGAAATGTCTAAACGAACATTCAGATTCATTATTCTAGTAGAAAATTCAATAATAAATTAATTACTTTGAACATGGAATAATTTATTTATTTTTTAAAAATATTTTGTTTCTTTATTGCCAAGAAAACTGTAACAAGGTTATTGATCACTTTTGTGAGCTGGCTAATATTTACAAATAATGCTAAAATTATACATATCATGGAAATAAGGAAGTGTAGATATTTTTATTTTTAAGTATGCACTATTCTTTAGGCGCATTTAGACATATCACTATGGAGGAAACCAGGCACAGACGGATTTATGGGGGGAGGAGGGGGCTTCCAGGATGGAGTTTTACCCAAAATGGTCAAATATACCCATGTTTTATGGAAAAAAATATTAAAAATTATCTCTTAAGGTATTATTGTTCGTGAAATTACATTTAATAGGACGTCAAGAAACACTTTAACACATTTTTATTATAGGTAGTTAGTTTCTTTCTTTTTCTTCCAGAATAATTATCGTTACTTTTTTTTTAAAAAAGAACCTTTCAAGCTGAAGCCTCCCCAAAAATGAAATCCTGGATTCAGGGATGCCCGGAAGGGGGTTTGATGGCGCAACTTGCGACATCAAAAGTTTTGAGGAGGACAAATTTTAACGGGATTTTAAATTTTGGAATGGAAAAGTTTAAACCAGGGGCAACAGGGAAACATGGAACAGACGACATCAAGTGTATTTGTTTACGATCTACTATTTTTTAAATTCTATTTTGCTAGCATTGATTTTAAGAAGGAGGGAATAATAAACTATCAAGGACAAAAAAAAATCAAGGATAAATAATTAAAATGTTAAAGAAAAATATATATTTCAAATCAACTAGAAAAGAATATACTTTGCCAAATATATTATTCATAATAAAAGTTTATAAACAACATAGCGTATTTATCTCTGCAGAACAAATCCTGTTCAAGAAACATAAGTACTGTGGTGGACTCTTAGATTTTCTTCAATCCTTCTGTGAGCATTATCCTTAATCAATTGCCTTAATTTATGGTAATCAGGTATTTTCTGAAAAATCATTAATATTATAAAATTATCTATATTATTATAAATGAAAAAATTGACCTTATTGATCTACAAGATGATAATCAGGAGGGCTGTCAAAATTAAAAATTGTTTAAAACAAAATAGAGAAAAATTATCTGAAGTTAATAGGTAGTTTTGGGCTCTTTAAGTTATATTCATAATTTAAATGAATTAATAAAGTTTTCTTATTACATATAACTGAGAAGGAAATTACAAAAAGGAAAATAACTTTTTCAAAACCTCAATACTTTCTTTTACAATATATTTCATTTATAGGCAAGTGAATGCAATAAGCGTGCTTTACTATTAACAGGGAATATGACATTCAGATAAGCCTTAACGTATAAATATTTATTTAAAAAAAATTGATAGTTTTACCTCAGCTAAACAATCTCTTTCTTCTTTTAACAAATCTCCAATCCTCTTCACATCTTTATCTGAAAGTGTATTTTGACTAGCATCAACACCGTATGATTCCAATTTACTATCTAATTTTCTTAATACTTCTGATTTTAAACTGAAATCAAAATATAAATAAGTGTAAACAAAATAAACAAGTAATATCAATAACAGTTTAGTAATAATTTATTCAGCATTTGATACTTGGAAGAGACAGGATTTGATATCACATATTTTTTTAAAAGAAACTTGTGAAGAATTTCAGCTTATTCTGAACCTTTAACTTATTTAAGATGGAGGAGAAATCGTCGACTGTTGGAAGAAGTTGGTTGGAGATTGCATTCATTAGAAGTACACAAAAATAATGAAGAGAAGAATAGTTGGGGTGTTCAGTTAAATAAGAAGGCAAAAATAAATTATAATATTTATTTTGACATTTGCCGACCTTTCGACCTGAAGTTCAGGCCATCATCAGGGCTAAGAAAAAGGTCGAATGTCATTATTCACGACAGTCAACCATTTACGCACAATTACACAAAAATAATATTTTTGAGCCGTTTCGAAATAAGTTTCAGGCCTTCATCAGAGCTAAGCAAATACCAGATAATAAATAAATACGGATTAAATAATAGACAATAATAATAATATGTAGATAAAAGGAAAAAAAAAACTAGCTGTATCATTATCACCCATGAAGGGTCTTGGGTTCCGCACTTTCTTAGAAAGTACTGTTCCAAGGCCAACAGTTATGCCTTAAAAAAAAAAACCTGTACCACTAACAATCCATAGAGGGTCTTGGGTTCAGTAAAATGTGAGGAAGGGTGTTGACGGTCCAATATCACGCTCAACCGCCAGGTTTTTCCCCTTAATTAATTATTCAATCAAGATTACCCACTTAATAAATAGAGGCTGGGTTTGCTCCAGGAGGACCTCCCGGCCCCAGAATACCAAACAATTGACCACCCATGGTAGATCCTAAACTTGCAAACGTCATTGTTAGTGAAGCCGCATTAGACCTGTATGAGTTAATTGACATATTTAATTATTCAGAATCAGTCATAATGTGTAACGAAGCAATCATATTCTAATTTAAAATATATTTTGAACCTAATTGAAAGAACTATATAATATTCATTATACCAGTGATTTTTTTAAATTGTTTTATGGATGCTTCGTTATTACAGAATAGCAGCTACTGAATAGGCTGATTCGTCTCTCAAAATTTACTACTAAGATGTAATATCTTGGATCAATTAAAATGGACAGCTGGCTGAGAATAGTAAAATGAATGGTTTAAAATGAAGAAAAATAATCTATGAATAATGCAGCAATATGTAAAACTTCCACAGGGAAATTTGAAATCAATAGGAAAAGTGGTTTCCTAACATCTAAGAAAAGAAGGAGAATAAATAACATGTTCCTAATTTGGGAGTGATTCAGCCTCTTTGCATGTAGTCATTAGAGTGTATAACTCATGAACCATTTAGATATTTTATGGTGTGAGGGAAGTATGGCCGAGGGAGCTAACGTTTGTGCACAGCACTATGTTGCTCAGCAACCTGATGGAAGATAAATTGATAAAATAATTACTAGTTTATGTCCTGTTGCCAGAGGGGCTTTTAATTCTGGCATTAATCCTTTGCCCCAGAAATAACCTGTAGAGCCTAAAAGATGAGAAATGGGGAGACAAAACAAGAAAGAAGAAATGATATGTCATGGTGAAGACCAGAACCTTGTCCTCCTCAATTGAAAAGAAAGAACCCAACAGGCTCTCGACTAATATATGAGTCCATGAGCAGTCGCAGAAATTTGAAGCTCCCAGCAACGTATAAAACTTGGTAAAGAGCTAACAACAGAACAAGCTTGTAAAGGTTAGAGGTAATTCCTTTGAAATTGAAGCTTCCATGGAGAGGGGATGCCTAGAAGGACCGATACTTGCTCCCACTCTATAGAAGCTTTTATCTGATGAATTGCTAGGAGTACTAGAAGAAGAGCGGTTCTCTGTTACTGATTACGTAGATGATTTGGCCGTAGCGGCGTTATCTAACAGCAGAACTGGCATAAAAAAACAAGCAGAACGGTGTGCCAACTTGTTTGGAGAATGATGCAAGAACGAAGAAGTTGACGATGGTCGCATCTAAGAGCCAGACTCTTGAAAGGGAAAACAGAATGGGCACACCCAATTAATATAATGCGATCCACTGCGGCTTTCCACTAGTACAAAAAATGTTTGTAGTATGGATATTTTTCCGCAGTGACTGACCGAAGGAATCGTTCTCGGTTAGAATATTGAGACCTGTTTCCCTCAATAATTTAGCCCTTAGTTCTTCAAGACCTTTGATCGAGTCTGGCACCAAGGACTGCTTTACAAACTAAGAATATGTCTAAATGAAGTGGTCACTTACTTTGGTGTTATATCTGGCAGAGAATTTAACCTCGCCACTCACTTGGACTACCTGGCTAATAGAGTGGCCCAATTTCTGAACGGCCTAAGTAGAGATGGGGGTACTTTCTGCGGCCTCAGAAACTCCTCACCAGAACAAGGAGTGGAATAAGAAGCACCCAGAAACGCTGCTGATTATAATATGAAAATTGATTTCATTACAGGATGCGGAAGTTATTCAGTCATGTGTAACAACTCAGTTCTACGAAATCCGTATTGTCTCAATGGCACAGTAGAGCTTAGATATATAAATAACATATAAGTCCACCATTGCTAAAGGGTTAAGAAATGAAAATGAAGAAAAGTAAATGGTGATCTAGAAAGTAAAAGAAATACTGGTTTAAAAATTTTTTTTCTCTCCCCTTCTTTGCCTTCTCGGCTATACAAGGTTTTCCCTGGTCCAAGGGCGAGGGATTAATGCTTTAATGCTCCTTGGCACCAGGACTCGAACTCATGATCTTCAGTTTATCAGATTGTTGAGCAATGCGTGTTAGCCCACTCGGCCACTCCACCCCCCTCCTGATTTCAAACTACAAGGGTTAAGTCCATAGGCGCTGGCACTGAGCGGAAAGGTAAGCACTTTCTGCTACACTTTCCCTCCTCTCCCAATTTTTAATGAATGGGTTTGCCCCTCCAATATTTCCCAGTCATTTACTAAAAATAATTCAAAAAGTTCAATAAACCATGTAGATAATAACTATATTAATTATAGTTGGCCAATGTGAATAATTCACATAGTACATTAGCTAGTAAACAGATGGCAAAATAATATGAAAATAAGGGAATTCAATGCAATATAAAAGGGAAGAATTATTTTTTTTATCTTTATTCGATTACAACGGCTATTCCAAATTATAAAGGATTAAAATTAATTTCTTCAAATCTTCTTTACCTTTCGTCGTAAACCTATGACTTACTGTCCTAAAGTATCCTTTAATAATAGACCGCTTATCCCTGTTGTACAAATCTGATACCTTGGACAAACGTCTGACTTGGAATCCTCATACCAGACTTAAACGACAAGAAACCGGTCGACATTTCTGACTACTCTAGCACTCACAAGACACAACGCTTTAAGCTTTCAGTTAATTACAAAAGACTCATCTACATGACTACAATAAAACATATTTGGACTTACGGAGTTGAGATTTGGGGCTCCACAAAGCCATCGAATTCCTCACGTATCCAATCCTTACAATCCAAAATCCTTCGTAAAATACTCAAAGCTCCTTACTTTGTCACTAATAAAATCATCCATAACGACCTTAATGTTTCTTATGTTTCCAATTTGTCTCAATCCAGATACCTATCCTTCCATAACAAACTTCAGAACCATCTGAACCCTCTCGTTTCCAACCTTGCTTGCTCCTCGATCCCTGATAACCATCCGAAGTATCTGAAAAGAAGATGGTCTCGAGATCTCCTATTGTAAATACATCTTCTTTTTTTTTTTTTTAGAGTGCTACCAATGGGTAGTTTCTCAACAAGTGTTTTCATGGTTTTATTTTCTGTTATCACATTTACTGAATGTAATATTTCTTAATAAAGTTGTAAATATCAAAAATTAATAATAATAATAAAAGTCATGTCTACAAAATATAATTGGCTGTATCTTTGCTAAAAATGGTCCAATTTAGATTACTTCTTTTTTTTGTTTAGTTTAGTTTGGTATGGAATTTGGAAACCTTTCAAACTCTATTTGCCATTGATTGCATACTTTTTAAATTATACATAAAGTTTTCTTTTCTTCGCAACAACTTTATCTGATTTTTCTGGATCTTCAAAATGATGGCCCAATCATTAGATTTGATGAATATCTAATAATTATCGAAGATGTGATATAATGACAAATAAACATCTTCGATAAATAATATATTATATTAAAATACAGATAATAAACTGATTACTCCTTAATGTATGGTGTTTGTTTCCTATTTTCCCTATCGTCCATTGAAAACAGTTATCATATCATACTAACTTTCTTTCCCTCTTCCCCCCCACAATATTTCTTAAGTGTCGGCGCCTATGGTCAGGTCAATCAAATACAATAAAAAACTATAAATAATTTACCTGGAACGGGATTTTATCACAGGTCTTCCTTCAATAAAAAAATCATTATGAGGAACGATTAAATCATTTATCTCACTTCCACGATCATTTCCAGGATATATCGGGTCTAACACTTCAAGAGAATAATTACTAGATTTTATAGAAGAAGTTATTCTCCATATGGCGTTGTTTTCCTGCTCTTCAAGGAAATCACTACATGTCATTTTTGTTATCTGCTTGGATTTTTTAAAAGGAATGCTATGAATAGAGATGCGTCCAGAACTTTCCATATTTTGTTCACTTTTTTCTAGAGTAAAAGAATTAGAAGCAAGTTGAATATCTCCAAAATCATTCTTTTGATTGTATTTTAACCCAGCTATCTCCTTTTGCTTCTTATTAGATCCACTATAATTCGAAATGCATTCATAACTTTCCATATTTTGTTCACTTTTTCCTAAAGTAAAAGAATCAGAGGCAACTTGAAAATCTTCTAAAACACTACTTTCATGTAATTCAGCTATATCCATAAGATCTTCATCGGATGTACTCTCGTTTGAGGAATATTCATAATTTTCAATAATTTCTTCAGTTTTATCAGTTGCGACAGAATTAGGGATAACTGGAGTATCTTTAAAACTGCTCCTTTCATGAAATTTCAACGAGGGTGTCTCCTTTAGCTGCTCGTTGGATGTACTCTCACTTGAGGAATATTCACAATTTTGGTTAATTAATTCATTTTTATCCATACAGGTAGCATTAGAAACGTTTGTATCATCTTTGAAATTTCTTCTATCATTGAATTTCAATTCAATTGTTTCCTTTAGTTGTTTATTGAATATACTCTCATTTGAGTTTTCACAATCTTCATTCATAATTTGTTTATTTTTATCAGCAATAAAAATATTAGAAATAACTGAAGCGTCCTTAAAATTGCTACTTTCATTGAATTTCAATTCAGTTGTTTCTTTTAATTTTTTATTAGATATACTCACATTTGAGGAGTTTTCATTCATAATTTGTTTATTTTTATCAGCAGTGATAGTATTCGAAATAACTGAAGCACCTTTAAGATTGCTCTTTTCATTGAATTTCAACTCTGTTGTCTCATTTAGTTTTTTATTAGATGTACTCTCGTTAGAAGAGTTTTCATGATTTCCAATAACTATTTCATTTTTATCAGTAGTAATAATATTGGTTAAACCTGAAACATTTACGAAATTGCTTCTTTCATGGAATGTTAATCCCTGTATTTCCTTTGGTTTTTTAACAGATGTGCTCTCATTTGAGGAGTAATCACAATTTTCAATAATTAGTTCATTTATATCAGTACTGATAGTATTAGAAATAACTGGGGCATCTTTACAATTGGTCCTTTCATTGGATTTCAACTTGGGTATCTTCTTTAATTTCTTATTGGATGTATTCTCATTTGAGGAGTATCCGAAATTTGGAATATTGACTTTATTTTTGTCTGTAGAGATAGTATTAGAAATGAGTGAAGCATCTTTATAAGTGCTTCTGTCATGGAATTTAAAACTGAATATCTGCTTTAGTTTTTTATTGAACATACTCTCATTTGAAAGGTTTTTGTGGATTTCACCTATAATTAGTTCATTTTTATCAGTATTTATTGAAGCATCTTTATAACATATCCTTTCATTGGATTTTAACCTAGGTGTCTCCTTTAGTTGTTTACTAGATGTACTCTCGTTAGAGAAATTTTCACGATTTTCATTCATAATTAGTTTATTTTTATCAGTACCGATAGTATTAGGAATGACTGCATCTTTACAATTAGTTCTTTCAATGGATTTCAACCTGTGTATCTCATTAACTTTTCCATTGGACATACTCTCGTTTGAGGAGTTTCCATGATTTTCATTCATAATTAGTTTATTTTTATCAGTACTGATAGTATTAGGAATGACTGCATCTTTACAATTAATTCTTTCAATGGATTTCAACCTGGGTATTTCCTTAAGTTTTTCATTAGACATGCTCTTGTTTGAGGAGTTTTCATGATTTTCATTCATCATTAGTTCATTTTTATCAGTAATGATATTAGGAATGACTATAATATCTTTACAGTCGGTCGTTTGATTGGATTTCAACCTCGGTATCTCCTTTAGTTGTTCATTGGACATGCTCTCGTTTGAGGAGTTTACATGATTTTCATTCATTATTACTTCATATTTATCAGTAGAAATAGTGTTAGAAGTAATTGAAGCATTTTCACAATTACTCCTTTTATTGAATTGTAACTCAGGTTTTTTGTTGGATGTACTCTCAATTGAGGAGTATTCGCAATTTTCATTCATAATCAGTTCATTTTTATCTGCAGTGTTAGTATTAGGAATGACTAAAGTATCTTTAAAATTGCTTCCTTCATGGAATTTCAACCTGGAATTCTCTTTTAGTTTTTTATTAGATGTACTCGCATTTGAAGAGTATTCACAATTTTCAATAATTAGTTCATTCATATCAGTACTGATAGTATTAGAAATAACTGAATTATCTTTACAATTGGTCCTTTCATTAGATTTCAACTTGTTTATCTGTTTTATTTTTTTATTGGATATACTCTCATTTGAGGAGGATCCACAATTTTCAATATTTACTTTATTTTTGTCAGTTGTGGTTAAATCAGAAATGAATGAAACATCTTTAAAATTTCTCTTTAGATTGAACGGTGACTTAGCTGTCTCCATTTCGTTTCTACTGGATAGACTATCATTTAAAAGGAATTTATAATGTTCAACAATTTGTTCAGTGCTTAAAGAATTAGAAGTAACTAGAGAATTGTCGATATTACTCCTAGGTGAGTAATATGTCATAGGAATAAAATGTTTTTTATTAGATTTGCCCTCATTCGAGAAGCGCTCGTACCTTCCAATATTTCGTTCATGATTTTTAGGATTTACAGACTCTGATGTAACTGGAGTAACTTGAAAGCGGCTCATTTCATTGTTTTCCAACTTAGATTTTTCCATTTGTTTTTTATTGGATACATTTTCATTTGAAATGTATTTGAAATTTTCAAAATTTTTTTCAGAGCTGGAAGAACTTGAAGTAACTACAGAATATTCATTGTTACTCTGAGGTGAGCCGTATACCATAGGAATATCAGGGCTTTTTTCATTTTCCCTAATGGCTAGTTTTACCAGCAGATCTTCTATCCTTTCAGTGGCTGAAAAAATAAATTAAATAGAGCTCTAGAATTATTAAGAGAACACGAGATAAAACAAAATAAAATTACATCACCATTCAATACAGCCTTAATTGTCGATTCATTAGCAGTTTCATGGAGAGAGCCTTCCTTAAAAATAAAAATAAAAAATATTAAAACAGATTAGAAATGAATGCAGTACAAATCTTGTTTAGTTAATAAGTATTAAGCGACTTCGAACTTTTAATCATAAAAAATCAATTTAAGAACCATAGATTCTTCACTGAGCAAACTACTTATAAAGTATTAGTCGTTGGAAAAACAATTAAATGAACTTGGGAATAAGTGATGGCACTGGTTCACGAGAGTTTCGCACGGATTAGGCTGGGCTCACAACCACTTCGATCATACTTGTTCATGGAATGATGAAAGAATCTGGGTTTTTCGGAATGCCAGCCGAACTCTTGAGGTAGTTACAAATAAACTTTCCGTCCTTAAAGTAATTGTATGCCCTTAACAAGATATAGTTACATAGCATGAGTCGACTTATATTTAACGTTTGGAATACAACACCTAATCTTAATCAAGCTTATACAAATATTATACAGCAGAACAAAATTGTAATAAATAAAATAATTTATTATTATATTATTGAATACTATTTAGCGATATATATTTTATTAAAGATAATTTCATGTCAATAAAATTTTAATCGATAAAAGGTTTTTTTTTTTTAAACAGATCTTCAAGGACCATTCAAACATCATTTTATATATTTTATCTTCCAGAGTTTTCTCCAGTATTAAAAATAATTAATAATAATTATTAAATTCGTAAATAAATAATTTGATAATAAGGAAGTCCTATGGTGAGAATGTGCAGGTTTTTCAAAACTGAATCAAAGGGGAATGGATGGTTGGGATGAAAGCTGACATTATAAAATTCGGCAACAATAGACTATTTTCAGCATTATGAACAAATGTGACTTAAGTGATTGTAATTCTTCCTAAATAACTATAATAATTATATTTTTATGATGGTGGATTAATAATTGACTGTCCTGGATAATATTGAAGAGATGGTTGGTGTGTAACAAAATAAACATAGTTACAAATAAAAATAGATATAATTTATTTAATACTTAATAGTTGACTGTATTTTAGAGGAAGGAGATGATCCAGGGTGGCGACTATAAAAAGACTAAAATAGTGGCAAAACTATTATATTTCAAGCTAACGTTTCGACATACACATATATATATATATTTTAATCATTGTCTATAAACCATTTACTTAAAATAAAACAATATTCTTATGTGGTACTTCATTTGTCTCATTTGAATACATACATATCAATTTGTCATATCATAAAAAAAAAATATGTTAAAAAATCTTATGTTCTAACATGAATACCTGTATTTTTTAATGATATTAGTTCATCATGTATTGCATTTAAATCAGAAGATGAGGTGATTCACTCCGTAAGGTTGTAAACAATTGTAAAAATATTCTGTGTATATTTAGCTACTACAATAATACTTATCAAGGGCATTCAATGTTCTAAAATATGGTATCTTCAAGGAATATACAAGGCCTTATATTTTCAATTTTTTTATTTTACTTCCAACCAAGTTTCGAACTGATTAGCTCATTATAAAGTCATCAAAAACATTTTTTTATATATTATAATGTATTTCAATATATAATTTCATGAACAACTATTTGATGTACACCAATTGACACAGATAACTATATTTCTCATCACCATATTCCTTAAATTTTTGGGCGTTAATTGATGCCTGTCCCCCATACGGTATTACCTCCTCCGTCTACTTTTTAATATTGACTTACGGGGGACATGCATCAATTAATGCACAAAAATTTAAGGAATATAGTTATCTGTGACAATTGGTGTACTACACATAGTTGTTCATGAAATTACTTGTTGAAGTACATTATAGTATGTAAAATAATGTTTCTGATGACTTGATATAAGCTAATCAGCTCGAAACGTCGTCGGGAGTAAAATAAAGAATTTGAAAATATAAGAGTTTATATATTCCTTAAAGACACCATATATAATGTAATAATATTCTTATTAAAGGTTTTGAGGAACAATTATAATCACTTGCTCCCAAATTGGAATGGACAATAATTCTTCCAATAATAAATTAAATGAATATTATTACCTTTACTTGCTCGGAAGGACTTGAAAGATTTATTGAATTATGTCTTCTATCTTCATGACGCTTGAGGTGGTTTTCACTAATGAAAACCTTTTTACATGATAAACACTGAAAAATAAAACAGAAACAGATGTTAATATCATTCAATACTATTTACCAACAATATCAGAACCTGAATAAATAAATACCTTAAAAGGTGCATCTTTGACATTTGCCATCAAAACAAGATGATGGGTGCTAATGGACAATGTTTTGGGGTGCATTGCTGAAAATAATCTGTTACTGATAGTTTATAAAATATGGAATTAAAATATTATATTTGTTCATCAGTTGCAGCAATCAGGATGTTTATAGGAAAACAACTAATAGTGTAATTCAAACTAGGAATGAGAGGGAAATATTGTAACCTTCTGTGAATAACTGAATACTAACTAGTAGTCTTAGAAGTAACTGCTTGTAACGAGCAGTTACTTTATTAGGATGAGTCTGGTCGTTTCTAAAATTATCGATGGAACCATTAATGGAATTTAACTTGTTCCTTTAATTATCGATTAAATTGCTGATGGCTCATATCGGCCTTCAGGGTCGAATGATTCTTTGCATCTAACCTCAGTGTTGTTTCTGAATCTACTCTCCATATTTATAATTGGTTTACTTTCTTTCAATATTAATTTCTGTTTTGAAGTTCAATAATTTATTAGATAAATATTCTCTTACATATTTTGTAACCTTCCGAGAGTTAAAAACTCCCGCTGGAATTCAGCACATCGTTCCTAAACTCAGTATAAATCTCTGTCCATTGGTACTTGATACAATCAATTGATGAATTCTTGGATTAGGGCTGAGTTCAAGAATTTGCCCTTATGTCCTGTAGCTTAATCATTTACGTGTCTACATCCAAAAGTATCTTTATTACAACAATGTTGAACTCGAAATTTACTAATTTTTTGAGTATTAATCACTCTTTCCTCGGTCCCATCCTCTATACAGCTGACATTTCAACTCATCCTAATACCAGCATTTCCACGTATGCTGATCAGGGACAGACCGACCACAAGGCGAATGGAGCAGCAGCTCCAGACGCTAAGTCCTAAGGGACGCTGACTCAGTGGCAAAATATCAGTATGGAAGACCTCCATAAAAAACCCAGAGGTATTATAAAACGGGTACGGGCAGCACACATTATTTGATAAAACCAAACGATGGATGATCAGATTTCAACGAAAATCTCTTAGTATCAACTTCATACTATTAAAGAACAATGTTATCAATCCTGTATTAATCGGGCTGAATTCACCCAAAATTAAATCCTGGATCTGCTAGTGCTGAGAACCGAATATGTTACTAAAGTACAGCCCCGGTTTGAGTAACCAGGAATTTAACCACCATCTCATGGTTGGCAATCAACTGAAGCAGTGATTAAATTTAAGTAAAATGATCTAAATTTAAAAGAATTATTATCCATCTGTGCTGTTCTGCTGGGTCCGGGTTTCGAGTCCGATTGTGGCAGATTATTATTTTATTTAGTTACATCAGCCGAGGATCAACTCTGGGTTGGGAATACCCTTCAGGGGTAAGCCCACCCCAAACTCTATAAAGTGGGTCTCCTTTATCGTGGAAAAACTTGGAGATTGAGATCGATTACTTTTCAGAAGAACAAATTTACAAAGGCATTTTATAAATTAATGGTTCTTTGCAATTGTTAATAAATCGAAAGATCTTCAACGGGGCTGTACAAATTTTTAAATTTACCAATTTTTTTTCTCCGTTTTTCGATGTTTTATGAACGCTTGTGATCGGGCCGAAATTACGTTCAACCGCCACGTTTTCCCGCTTAATTAATTATTTAATTAAGAATACCCAGTTTATAGAGACTGGTTGTGTACCACAGAAGGGTCTCCCGACCCCAGGATCGATCCACGGCTGATGAAAATTTACTGGTCATCAGCCGGATTTGATCCTGAGATCTTGAACTCTGGAAGTCAGTGCTCACCCACTGAGCTACCCCACTCCCTACACAATATTAACGATTTTATAACTTCATTTTTGTTAGAAATAGAAAAAAAAGGCGTCGCAGTTCCAGACAATAAATTAACTTCTTTGTTATTTTCAAGACCTAGCGAAATGAATAAAAGAACATGAAGAATAAAATAATAATTCTAGGATTATGGAAAAATAAATATTCACCACTGTATTAATAGTGTCTCATAGCAAAAGCCAATTCGCAAATCTAGATTCTGAAATAATTAATATATATTTTTCACTTCATTAAACTTTATAAGAAATTTTCTGAAATAATATGATAAAAGTGGATAAATAAACACATTAAAAGAAAAGGTTCTAATTTTAAATTGTGGGTTGATGGTTGACTGTTGTGAATAATTGAAGAGGATGGTTGGAGTGATCAGTCAAAATAAATAATTATATATATATTTTTTAAATATAATAATTTATTTTTAATTTTTTTTATTTTGACTGATCACCCCAAACATCCTTCTCTTCAGTTCTTATTTTAAGTTTTTCATGCATTCTTTGTGGATTAGTCCATTGACTTCTTTGGAGAGCCCATTGGTTGTGTAACCTCCAACTTCTATTTCAAATATCTGTTTTTGTTGTCAGAATGATTCATTGATTTGTTGATTGTGTTCTTTCAAGTGACATTTCTAGTCTCAATCGTTTATTGTTATGAGTATTTTTTTAACGTTAAGAACTTACTTCAAAATCCTGTATATTTTCAAATGATGAAAGTTATCCTTCTCTAGTTGTCACAGTTTACAATAACACCATGTCTTCTTCAAGATTTGTTTTGGATTGGAATTGGAAAGATTTCTGTGGAAACGGAGATAACTTTACAGTTTGGAATCAGACTTTCAAAGACTTGGACTTATGTTTTCAGTATCTATGTTTGAATACACCAATATTGACATTGATCGCTGTCATATCAGCATACTACAGTGGATTGTGGTATGTTGAAACCAGAAGGTGCAAAAGAGATATATGGTTCCTTAGAGTTAGATGTTTAGCAACTTTATTACTTGCTGCTGTACCTGTTATTAGTTCGTATATTACTGAAACATTGTACCCCAGTTCATTGAACCCTGTAGATTATCTTTTAGCTTCAGTTCAGTGTGTTTCATGGCTTGTTCATTTTTCATTTATACTGTCGCTCTCTCATCGACATAGCAAAACATTACGTGGACCCATTTTAATTATTGTATTATGGGCAGTGAATTACATATTGTCATTTATAAAAGTTCACTCAAACTATTTAATCCTTAGACACCCAGTGAGTTCATTATATGGATCCCGATTGCCTTACATCTTTTCAATAATTGAAGTGGCTTTTCAAAGTGTTTACCTTTTTACTCTGTTGCCTGAAGGAAAAAGTAGTCCAAGGCTGATTTTTGGACCAATATCTGCTCATACTCAGGTAAATATCAATACAAAATTGAAATTTTGTTCCAATTTTATTCCAATTCATACTTTGAATTAATGTTTCGTACCTAACATGTCTGAACAGAAATTAAACTTTTCAAGATTAAAATAATCTATCTTTTTTTTCAGGCAGATGAACAGACTCCATTATTTGCTGTACCCAGTGCTTATTCAAGATTTAGAGAAGATTTGGATCCTAGCTATCTGGGTGTTGCTTATGAAGGATGTGGGATCGAGTCCAAATTGTTCTTTTCCTGGGTGAACCCTCTAATGGAAAAAGGAGTTTCAGGGAAACTCACCTCTTCTGAAGAACTTTTTGATCTACCTGATAAACTTCTAACTAGCAACCTAAATTTAAAATTAAGGAAAGCATTGAACAAAAGTGTTTATGAAACAGCTACTCCCAGCGTGTCTTTGTTGAAAGCATTACACAGTTGTTTTTGGAAAGAATTTTATGGCATTGGGATATTCAGACTAGTCTCCGATTTATCTGGATTCGCTGGTCCATTGTTATTACATAGTTTAGTCTCATTTATAGAAAATAAAGATGAGCAGGTTGTGAATGGATATATGTATGCTTTAGGGCTATTCATAGCAAGCTTAATAGGTAAGGTTTAAAATAATTTATGTATTTACATTTTATTAGTTCTCAAGAGTTTGTTAATGTAGAATTTTAAGGTAGTGATATACTTAAATACTTACTATGGTTCCTTACGGATGTGAAATGTGGCTGATTATATTTAGCGATGAACAACGCCTCAAGGTTTTTGAAAATAAACTATGGCACAAAATATTTGAACCTAAGGATGAGTTAACCAGAGAATTTAGATGGCTGCATAATTCTAAGAGGCGGGATGTGCAAAGCAACCTGATAACCGAAAGTATTGAGAATAAAATAATTACAAGTTCGCGTCCTGGTGCTGTGGAGGCTTTTAACTCTGGTATTAATCCTCCACTCTCATCCTCTGATTTCAGAAAATTCCATATAGCCTAATAGGCAAGGAAGGAAAGAACAAAAATAAATAAAAAAAGGTTTCATAATCCTACATTTGAGTTTGTGATGGCTGAGCGTGATTGGCTGTTGCTCGTTTTTTTAATCTCGTGTCTAAGGATATCAGCTCGAATCCTGCCTGGGCAGGTTAACTTTTATTTCGCGGATGACTCATTTATTGGATCTCAACCTACCCACTCTGGTTAGAATAGGTTTTGTTGTATTTTTAGAACAACCCCACTTTATGCCAGAATAGCGAGCTAGGTTATAATCTTAAAAAAATAAATTAAAAAAGGCTACATAATCTTAAATTATATGAAGTGTAGCTGTTGAATAGGAGCAGCCGAGCATACCAATGCGTGTATAAATTAGTGTGAGTTCATTGTCTGCCATAATTCTCCCACGATATCCCTTTGTCTTGGAAAAATCCTGAATAGCCTAAATGGCTAGGAAGGGGTGAAAAAAACAACATATTTATTGTATATATATTAATTCAATAATCAATATTATTTTCTTATTCTACATAAAAAATGAAATCGATTGATATCAAATAACCTAAAAGTTCAAACAAAAATAAATAATACAAATTTTGTTTGAAATTATATTAAGCATTTTTTTCTATTTTTCGGATCATATCACCTGTAAAAAATTTGGTTGAAATCAGTGACGCACTGACTAGGCTTCTTGTTTGTGACTTTTTTCAATAAACCAACGATACGTTGTAAGAGGTATTTATTTGATGTATTGGAGTTTACTTTTAAATCATACACTGTTCTAATTATGGCTAAATGTTTGATTTAGAGCGAGGTGGGTTCAATCCCCACTGTGTCAATTATTACTTATTTTGTTATGATCTTCCAAATCATTAAAAAAAAAAAAAAATTACAGATCAGATTAATATTTTTGCATTGCTATTATTTATCTATCAAAATTAGGATAATGATTCTGTTTATTTAAATCAAAACAATGAATAATGATTTAACATTATGTAGTTCGCGTTATAATTAGTGTTTTATTTTATTTTTTTAAGGTGCTTTTTGCTCTGCCCACTTTAACTTTATGATGTCATTTGTTGGTCTGAGGATACGTGGTGCATTAATTTCAACTTTGTACAGAAAAACATTGTCTCTTAACTCCATTATGATATCACAGTTCAGGTAATACTTTTTTTAAAGTTATTAAGTTGTAGGCACAATAAGTATTTTTAATAATAAATTTGACTAAATAAATATTATTTTTTAAAAATCAAGTATAAATTTATTAATGTTTGATTTGCCTTAGCATACCCTTTTCATGTCAAATCCCTTGAATTAATAGATTAATAAAATAGACGACTCTCTTGATAATTCAAGTAGTATATAATATAGTAGTAACAATGATATAATATAATTTACAGTAGTAACAAGAGAGAAATACTTTATTGAAAGTAATGCTGCCTTACTAAATAAGGTTGCTTTATACACAGCATGCTGATCAATCCATATGGACATAGGTCTTACATTACATAATTCCATCATTATACAAACACATCACTTTTTTTCCCCTTTTTATAACACTAGTCATATACACTATCACTAATATACCACATTAAAAAATTACCATCATAACATACATTGTCTGGAAAAAAAAAAAAGTATTCGAATGCTAGAAATACAAGACTAAATCACACACACATATATCAACACAATGCCATGAATATAGATAAAAAGATAAGACAAAGCCAAAAAATTAAAATTGAACAAATAAATGACAAAAGACATTCCGTCCCTCATCAGTCAACTTTAACTTTTTTTCTTTCTTGTTTGGATCACAAGGGGTTTGGATTATCAAGACAGTTCTGTAATTAATAAACACAATTTTATTAATCTAAGTTTCTGTTATTATTTTTTTATTTAAAACAAGAAATAAAGTGTGTTTAAGCCTTCAATTATGAATATACCAAGATTTTATTAGATAAATACTTCTTATTCAAACAGCTGTTGTTTAATAATTTTTATTTCAGTACAGGAGAAATTTTGAACTTTATGAGTACGGATATGGAACGTATAGTTAACTCGTGTCCTAGCTTTCATGCATTTTGGAGTATACCTTTTCAGGTAAAAAGATATATATTTTTTAATATTTATGTATTTAATAATGCAGTTATTGCTTTGTTTAATAATTTATTTTCGTTAATGAGTGAAGATCTGTGTTTGCTATTTTGTGTGTGATATATAGACAAAAAAAATGGTCCATTTCTTGAATGTGCTTAATTAACTCCATGAATCATAAATTTTAATTACGTTACACTACGATCAACTGGGTCTTGGTTGAAGAAACTGTTGATTTATTGCAAAAAGCCATTATGTGACATTTCATAATCTCAAATAATTAAGAACTTTGATAAATTTTCCTTTTATGAAATCAGAAAATTGTGCTTAATATAACTTTGTATGATAAATAAAAGAGTGTGTGTCATTTTCATGCACTTGCGGTGTTTTTTCATTAGTTAATAAAGTTGAAATTTACAAAAAAAATGTTTGAAAGTTAACCTGTTTTAAAAATGCACCTAGTGACTTTTTGCAATAAGCTGATGAAGTATAAGTTATGAATTAACATATTGAATTTTATTTATTTGTCTTTCCAGATTGTGGTAACACTGTACTTGTTGTATCGGCAAGTAGGGATTTCGTTTCTAGCTGGAGTTGGATTCACAATAATTTTAATACCCATAAACAAATTGCTAGCTACGTATATAGGTAAGTGATTTCACTACTTTTATCTGATTTTCTGTTTTAATAATGATAATCAAGATTTTTTTCATTCAAATCGAAAATTCCTTTTCTTCTCTGTCATCCGATAGAAAATAACAGACTTTCCATTGGCCCTGCAGTACCCATTCTTTTCTTTAAGTAGAATTTTTAAAAGTATCAAGAATTTTTTTTAAAGTTTTATTTGTTCTATTGACTCTTAACTATACACCTTCCCCCAAAATATATTTTGATAACATTAAAATCCCTACATCAGATGTAATTAGATATTTAGATTTTTGTCTAGACAAAAATGAAAAAAATTAAACAGAAGATACGGTCTTTTATCCAGGTTACTTGACAGACATTCAAAATTATCTTTAACTAACAAACTTTGGACAACTTATAAAGTTTTACTTAAACCAATTTGGACTTATGGCGTAGAACTGTGGGGTTCTGCTAAAACTTTCAACATTAAAAAAATTCAGCCCTTTCAGTCAAAAGTGTTGCGAAGGATGTTGACGCACCATTTTATGTTCGCAAATGATATATTACATTAAGACTTAATCATACCAACAATTTTAGACACTGCAAAAGAAAACTACAATAACTTTCACCAAAGACGTAGTAAAACATGAATTCTCTAATAGAAATCCTTAAATGTACAAGAAACCCGTACAGTCCATCATGACGATTACGTAGGTGTTGGCCAAGAGACCTGCTGATGTGATGAGACGCTGTGAAGAAATGCATTGCAAAGAAATTTGCAGATTGCAAAATTAATTTAATGTTCAACATGTTTGTTTAGTTAATAAATAAATAAGAAATTTGTTTCTGGTATAAAATGGATGTATTTAAATTTAAATTTCAGGAAAATTGAGCACTAAAACAATGGGATACAAAGACGATAGAATCCTTGTTATATCTGAACTTCTGAAAGGAATCAAGATAATTAAATTTTTTGTCTGGGAAGAATATTTTTTGAAGAAGGTCGGAGGTAATAAATGATTGATCAATTTTATCAATATTATATTAGCTATATCTGTCACATTATTCAATCCATTAATTCCATCAATTTCGTTTCAGATATTCGTTCTAAAGAAATGAAATATTTATCACTGAGGAAATATTTAGATGCATTGTGCGTTTATTTCTGGGCAACTACGCCTGTTCTTATATCGTTCTTTACATTCCTTACATATATTTATTTAGGGAATACGTTAACAGCTCCAGTGGTTAGTATCTTTTAGACTGTCTTATTTTATTATGCATAAGAGTTTTCCTTTATTTTTAAAGAAGTAGTCTTGTTTATTCGTGTGTCCGAAAAATTATTTTGATGAAGTGATAAGCAAATAAATGTTTTTTTATATGATATATATTATATATATGTGAAATAAGGATTTACTTTAATGTATCATAAAGTAGAATTTGGCTAAAACTGCTCATTATAGCAGCTGGCAGTCCTAAAGACTGCCATCCGTTACTGCCAATAAATATTTCTTATGCATTTGGTTTAAACTGCTCCACTGTATTGGCCAGAAAGAAGACACAGTTTATTGTAGTCTTTGTGAAAGTTATATTAAATATGAGTTTGCAACATAGATGTAAGTTTAGGTTATTTATATGTGTACAAACAAAAAGGAAAAATTATTAAAGCAATTGCTCCTTGCTGTCTGCCAGAAATTAGTATTTAAATACTAATAATAATAATAAGGCATAGCGAACCCGAAGGTTCGATGCCGATACCACCAATCGATGTCCACATTCTTCCATCCACCGGGCTCCGTTTAAACCAAACCCTGCCAAATCAGCCTTAACGCAATCTACCCACCTTCGCTTTGGTCTATTCCTCGGACGCTTGCTAGTCGGTATAGTACATATTAACTTTTTAGAAATTCTTTCCTTACTAAGCTCAGCGATTTTATTTGTCCATTCTATTTGCTTCAACTTAACCACCTCAATTATATTAGCTGGATACAGTTCACGCAATTCAGCGTTGTGCCGGCCGAAATTGCGCCATTCTTTTTCAGTTCGAATATTCTGCACAATACTTTATTTTCAAAAACCTTAAGACCTTGCTCATCTCTTATTGTAAACAGCCAGATTTCACATCCAGAAAGGACTGTATTGGATAACTGTTTTGTAAATTCTAATTTTTAAGTTTCGGGACAGGAGGCGAGAACTAAGTAGTTTTGGCAAAGAAAAATATCAAGCATTTCCCGCCTTCAGTCTAACCTTAATATCTTTTTCAATTTCGTTTTTTCTAGTTATCGTAGACCCTAAGATACCTAAAATTCTGTAAGTGTTCCCAAACACATTCCCTTCTATATCGACATCATCGAAATTGTCACTGTTTTAGGGCCTTCCAGACTTGCTGGAGGGTGTGATGTAGAATTGAACGCCCTACTCACATATTTGTAGTTCACAAAATACCAAACAGTCATGGATCCTCATAAAGTATTTAAATACTCAAACAAAAAAAGTAATAATAAAATAAAATTTGGAACTGATGTTTTATGTGAGCTTTACATTATAAGTTTTATACTATAACGATAATATAATTATAAATTATAATTTATATAATACAATAACTTAATTATGTACTATGACTATATTAATGGACTATTTGTTGGTATTCTGAGGTAATTTCTGGAATTAGTGTCTATCATACTAAATAGAAAAGTAGGTTGGCGATGATTCAGCAAATGGCTCTTCTTTAAGTAACCAGGTCATACAAGACCGTGTCTCATGAGACGGTTAAGATCTTAAAAGGAAATATTCCTTTCAGCCTCCTGTGGTAAAAATTCTTCTGGCATAAAATTAAGAAAGATGGCTTGACAGATCTATGGGATAGGATCAATGAAGATCCTCTGGGAGGGTGCATTAGAAGAATAGAACCAGCTGTGGATGACAACCCCTTTGAGAAAATACTTTCCCACTGTCAGATCGCACCTAGAAAATGAGTCATGGGTCCACCAGGACTAATGTATCTCGTAGATTCTTACACGGATGTGATTTCTTAGAGTAAATCTTTTTAAACATAGTAAAATATCAATCCCATATTCCCCAGTTGTGTTCAAGAATTTTCTGAGCACATTATCATATCCTGGACCATTTGTGAAGAACTGAGAACCAAATTATTCAGAGAGACAGGTCTCTAAATTTTGACAGAAAGCAAATTCTCTCAGCTGATGAATAAAGTAAACTACCTGCACTTTTAAGAATTTTGTGACTCGAAAGAAGTTGTAGGTGCAACCTTCTATATAGGAAGAATAAACCATTCCAGAGAGTGTAGAGGACAGAAGAGGAAAAGAATACGGTGGCTATACTGAAGAAAGAATAGCTGGAGTATGCCGTAAATCTTAATCTAACAAGATATAATATTGCAGCAGTGTTATGTTATGCTGGCATGCTTATCTTCCCACTGCTGCAAACGCCCCTATTGCATTCAAGGGGAGCATGGTTGGATCTAAAATTAAATAAATAACAGATTATTGAATTTTGTACACCTTTAAATTTATTCTCATGTAAATTTGTGGTTCATATAACATTAACTGCTTTGCTTGATCATGAGGTTATCAACTTATCTCTTATTATATTTTTCATTTTTTTTTTTTTAGGTGTTTACCACAATCGCTCTTTTAAACATGCTTATAACACCTTTAAATGCTTTTCCATGGGTATTGAACGGCCTGACTGAAGCTTTGGTGTCAGTGAGAAGAATTGAAAAATTATTGATGGTAATTTATTATTTAATAAAAAAAGTTAATTTAGTGGATAAATATTAAATGTTGATTTTTCTACCAGTTAATTCCAATTTTCGTTATATTTTTTAAAATAATTTTCTTTTTAATTCCTGTAGTCTCTTCGCTTAGAGAATACTGGGGTACATATACTAAAGATTAGTGGGGTACATATAGAGTATATTAGTATACAGTAGAGGACATTCCAGAAACATTCTCTTAGCGAACAGATTGTACTTACTAGGTTTTAACTCATAATTATTATTCATTTCTGACAATATCTTTATTTTTAGCTTCCTGATTGCGACATTGATGACTATTATACCCCTATCTATGGCGATGAAAGTCCAGGAACCGTTATCGTCGAAAATGGAAACTTTTTTTGGGGAGATTTAAATTTCAGACTGAATTCAATTAATGTAAAAATAACCGAGGTAAGTGCTTCAGATTCATAATGAAAAGACAAAATAAATTCATTAACTTGAAAGAAAAGGTTAAAATTTATCGGGTTTAACAGGGTCAGCTTGTTGGCGTGATTGGTAAAACTGGAAGTGGAAAGTCATCGCTGTTGGCAGCTCTACTTGCAGAGATTGATAAAATATCTGGTTTGGTGTTTTGTTCTGGTCATGATCAAGGTAGCATTTGTTTTTTCTTATCTTCATTATATTTTATAATGATAACTTACTTTAACATAAGAATTGCTTTTTTTAAACATTGAAGAGTAGGTGTTGATATTTTTAACAGAATAACAAATTTATATAATATTAATGATGAACTATCAACGGTGTGTAAATATGAAACTGGAATTTGTCCATAAATGGCTCTAGTTGTTAATTTAGTTATGATTAAACCGCATTAATGGCACCAATTTGTCTCTTCAACGGCTGGAAAATAGTTTAAACTAACAATAATACAATTTTTATGTAGCAGCATTTTGTACTATAACTATGATTTGCAGACAGGATTAGTTTTTTGTTGTCATTAAAAGAAAAATTTAGAATCTCATCGTTTCGATTCCCCACCCTGAGATTGATAGGGAGGTGAGAGACCTCTATGTCTTACACCATCGCTCCTGGTCCTCCAGGTTGGGGGTTGGGTATAAGGATAATCCCCTATCCCATAAAAAAAGTGGTTGCAAGATTATAGCAAAAGATTGCCAACCATCCTTCAGGATTTAAGTATAATTTACCCAAGATTACTGGGCCATATTATACCCTGAGGATGAGGACAAAGTAGCTTTGAAATAATGAAATAATAATAAAAGGAACTATGAATATTAGTTTTTAAATATTGACCTATGAACAAAATTGTGGAGAAAAAATAAAGTAATGTTTACCTTTTTTGTCTATTTAAACATGAAAATTTAGTTAGACTCTATTAGTATTTCTCTTCAACGGTTAAATAATGATGGGTTTTGTTTATATTTACTTTTGCTAGAATTATTAATTTTTTTCAAATGGTTCACTAAATTTTATTATTAATATAATTATCTCATCTAGGTATCGGTTACGTATCCCAGACACCATGGCTTCATCAGGGTACTTTGCAAGAAAATGTGCTCTTTGGCGAACCTTTCATTTCACAGAAATATTGGTAATATTTTTATTTTATTTATTAGCTTTATATATATTACATGTTTTTTACTAATATTTAAATAAACTATAAAACTGAATACGACAACGTTAATGAAAGCCTGTAAAGAACTAGGGCTCGAAATAAACACGGATAAGTCGAAATATATGGTTAGCTGCAAAAATGGCAATATTGCTGGTGGTATCGATATAGAAGGTAATATGTTTGAACAGGTAGAGAAGTTTAGGTATCTAGGGTCTATGATAACTAGAATAAACGAAATTAAAGAGGAAATTAAAGTTAGGCTATAGGCGGGAAGTACTTGTTATTTTTCTGTGACAAAACTACTTAGCTCGTGCCTCTTGTCTCAGAACTTAAAAACTAGAATCTATAAAGCCATTATCTTACGTACGGTTTATGGATACGAAACGTGGCCCCTTACATTAAGGGATGAGCAACGTCTTAATATTTTTGAGAATAAAGTATTGCATAGAATACCAAAGAAGTATGAATTAACCGGAGAGTTCAGACGGTTACCCTACACCAAATTGCGTGAACTATATCCGGTTAATATAATTGTGAGTAATTAAAGTGATTACATTGCGGCAAATCAAATGGGCTTGTAAAATTCTTGGGCTTAGTAACAAAAGAATTCCTTAAAGGTCACTATTTGCTGTAGCAAATGCTAAACATCTGAGGGGTAGACCAAAGCGAAGGTGGGAAGATTGTGTTAAAGCCGATCTAAAGGTTTGGACGGCAAACGGTGAAGGGACGTTTGTAATAAGCTATTGGTAGTCTCGGCCTCGGACCTTCAGGTTCGCTAAGCCTTTTATTATTATTATTATTTCTAATATTTAATCTCCTTTAACTTCTTACCTTTATTTCTCGAGATGATAGATAACACATTAGTTCTTTATTTCATCCTCTATTATCTATTGATCAAATCAGTCATTAATCTACGAATTTAAAATATTTTTGTTTTACTTTCAGGAATGTAATGGAAGCTTGTGCATTGACTTTTGATCTAGAAACTCTCCCGGGAAGGGACAATACAGGGATTAGTGACAGCGGCTCCAACCTCAGTGGTGGCCAGAAAGCTAGAATAGCACTCGCTAGAGCTGTGTATCAGGTAATTCTAAACTGCAATAATTAGCATAATTTAATTAATTAATTAGTTAAAATTATCTTATTTATAAGATTGTGTTTACTTTAAAGTCAACTAAATTTAATATATGTAAAGTTAATAAATCCTTTTTGAGGTCGTGATGACCGAGCATGCGACACCTCTAGTGGGGTAGGTTTGAATCCGTCCTGGGTGGGTTGAAATTTATTTTGTAGAGGACCCACTGAATGAATCTCGGCCTTCTTACTCTGGTTAAAATAGGTTTGGTTTTACATCTAGAAAACTCCTTATATTTTCATAGGTTATAATTACTCTAGCTTGTAAATGGTTGAAGATAAGATAGTAAAGAAATATATATTTTTAAAGAAAATTTAATATTAAGCAAATTTTGTCAGCTTTAATTTAACACAGAACATTATTATAGCTAGAACGCGTGATATAAGCGAAAAACCAATAACAATTAAACTTTTTAAATGGTAAATTCAAATTTTCAACTTTAAATCCATAGGTATAGTGTAACTGACTATTATTTCATGTTTTTGAGACAGTAAATATTTTAAATTGAAAAGGGTGGTGACTTTCTATATCAAAAAGCCAAGCCCTCTATATATACGTTTTCTACGTATGTAAGATCTCTATCTTCACCTGGCCGCCATTTTCTATTCCAGCAGCTATCTGCTGGCAGACATGTATTTTTCTTATCAGGTCTGTGGGTATGGCCAATCAATTAGAACAAATCTTGAAGAGAAGAATAGTTGGGGTGGTCAGTCAAATAAGAAGGCAAAAATAAATGATAATATTTATTTCTCCGTTTTACACCTTTGGAGACAGCCCTGATGAAGGCCTGCCCTTATTTGACTGATCACTCCAACTATTCTCTTCATTATTCACGACAGTCAACCATTTACCCACAATTATAGAACAAATCTTATTATGAAATGTGACACTTTTTTGCCACAGACTCCTCCCGGACTATGTGATTTCCATAACTTCCAAAAAATAAATGAAATTTGACAATTTTTTCAAAGAATTTTTAAATAATTTGTTTGTGAAGTTCTTAAGTGTATAATTTATCTTTATAAAAATTTAAATGCATTTTATAATAATCATCATTTTTATTCACAAGACTAGGGAAAACAAATCTACTGTTTTATAATTGGCATGTTTCTGAAAATTCTCTCTTAAACATTTTTAGCATTGCTGCCATTTAAAATAAACTGTTGTTTTTTTTTCTTTGTTCTTCTCTACCTCACCTTTTAGGCTATACGGGATTTTCCCGGGCCGGGGGGTGAGGGTGAGGAATTTAAAATCCCCTCCGGCACCGGGACGCGAACTCGTACATTTTAACTTTTCTCAATTCTGTAATCCGGTTGCCAGGCAACTCACGGTGCTGTGCACACGCTTTAGCCCATTCGGCTACCCTGCCTCCGTAAAATAAACTGTTTGGAATACAGTTTTCTCTCTGCTTGTAATAGAAACTCTTAAATAAAAAAATATATGGATGTGCATATATCAATACACTTTTTTCACTAACGTTATAATTTTGTTAGATATTGAAGAGAATATTCCAATAAAAAAATCTAACAAATTGCGTTAATTAAATTAAAAAACTTAAGTGACATCCCATTTAACATGCTCAATGGCTGCTACTTGCCACAGCAATTTGAATTTTGTAATGCAATTTGATCAAATTGATATTTGAACCATTTGTACACTATTCCCCAACTTACCTCCACCATTGGTCCATTTTTTTAAATATATGTTTATTGATGAAAATACATTTGTGCATCCAATTTAGTAAAATTGAAAGAGATTTTTTTGAAGTATAAGCATATTTAAGAAAATAAAGTTGTGAACGTGTAAGTAAAAGTAGTGTTTAGAATGTGATAAGATTGCTATGGGAAAATCTAAGTGTAAATCCCCACAATCCCTGAAAATTTTATCAAAATCGCATTTACAATAATAGGTGATATGTCCGTCTTATGGATTTTACGATAGATTTATTTTATAGGTAGGCAGTAAAACGATAGTGAATATTTTTGATTCTGTGCACAAATTTTTTTTTGAATCTGCATGGATGTAAAGCTTTCCTACTTTTTACATTAAAGTTAAAAATACTTGTAGTTAACTGGTTATTTATAATTATGAAAGCATTTATTTAATTGGAAACAACAGTTATATATTTTTTTTTTCCTTTTTCAGAATTGTTCTATATACTTGTTGGATGATATATTGTCCGCTGTCGATACTTATGTCGCTAAACATATTTATTCGCAATGTATCTGTGGCGTGCTTAGAGGTAAAACACGTATTCTCTGTACACATCAGACCAAATATTTAACTAATGCAGATTTGATTATTGTCATGGACGGTGGAAGGATAATCAAGCAAGGTAATGTTTGATAAATCTTTTCAATTTTTTTTTTTATTCCTTTTAGGATAAATAAACTAAGAAAAAAAAAAATTGTGCACCCTTTATGTTTTTTATTTCCTGTTGGAAAGACCATGTAGATGATCTTTTGCCGTCTTAACAAGACTGCTCCATCTCTTTCTGTCTTGGGCTATTTCTTTCTATTTATCTGCATCTTTGTTGATTCTATCTATCCATCTGCTTTTTGGCCTTCCACATGGTCTTTTGCCTTCTGTTGAGGCATTCATTGGTACGTAGAGGCTTCCAGATGGATTCCTTTGAGCTACATGCCCCTGCCCATCTTAACTGCCGTGCCTTCATATCATGGGATATTGATTGACCAGTTTCTGTTAGCAGTTCTTTATTTGTCTTTCTTCTCCATGTGTTAGTATTCTGATCCCAGATCACTCCGGTTATCACGTGGAGGATTTTCCTCTCAAGTCTTTCCATACTTTTTTCTAGGATGCTGGTTAGTGTCCAGGTCTTACATCCATATATTGGAACTGGCTTTATCATAACATTGTACACCCTTAATTTAAGATTTTTTGGGATTTCAATACCTTCGAGAGGGAGAAGAAAGCTCTGTTTTCAGCCCATTGGTCATTCATTGAGGTTATTGTGCGGCCAAGGAAATTTTCTACTCTCGGGAATGTTTTTCCTTCTACGCAGATCGTATTATTGTGATGGAATTTTCGGCTTATTATCGACACCCTTTAATTATTGATAAATGTTTATTGAAAGTTTGTTTTCAATGTATTGTTGACTTGATATAGATAATGATTAGTAAAGTCTTTCATATCAATAATCCCATACATTATTTGCATTACATGCAATTATTGTCCCAGGTATAATAATGATTCATCCATCATTTTATTTCTAGTAGTTTGTGAGATCACTATATCTTCAAGAAAATTATCTCCACTTTCTTAAAATTACGTTTTTCTTGTCTAAGATATTCTGTACTTTTCCACTATCTCAGAATGGTGTTTCCACTTCCGATAGAGTCATCAGGAACAGTTTCGTAGAAGCTGGAAGAAGCCATTGTTGCCATTCACCCGATATTTAATTTTCATGCATGACAACACTCAGCCACATGTTGCAAACTTGGTAATGAGGTTGTTATACACATCCTTATGTCCCAAAAATCCATTATTATATTTACATAGTGCTTTAGATTCTACGAATATTTGCCTTTGAAAACTCAATTGCTTAGCTTATCTTTCAAATCTTGATCGTTCAAAACTCTATACTCTTTCTTCACCTTCTTAAATCTTAATCTTCCGAACAAATGTAAATTATATAAACTGTCTTATTATTTACCATAAAATTGTAGTAGACATCCCTCTGTATTTACCCCTTTAGATGACAATGTGTGAGGGAATGAGAAGGAATATATAATATATAGGAATGTGAGGTAGCACTGTGAATTGTACTCAATAGTGCAGTGGACAAATTGCTCATTGGAAAATCTCACATCGATAAACAATCGAAAAGAAGAAAAGGTCCGATCAGGTAGCTGGCAACAGATGGCGAGGAAGACGCCAAACACTTGAGGCCTGGACACCAACACAAAAAGACGTCATCTGGGAAGAGAGGCTTACTACATTGAAGACCAAGATTATCAAGCCGACCGTTCACTTATATATATTCATTAATTATCAATTGTCAAAATAAATTATTTTATTGTACCGGAGTGAAAGTCCTTTTATTTACTTGTCCTATAGGCCTCACGATTGAAGAATAAACCAGGTGAGTCAATTCATTCAGTGTTTACTAAGTCCCACATTTCATATATGTATTCTTATTGTTTCTTCTCACACAGTGTCATAAAAGGTAATAGATCCCCGAATTCCCAATCACAGTCAAACACCCTCAAAAAGTCGATATCCAGTGCTGGGGTTTTGTTTTAATGATTCACAAGTGTAAATAACCTTAAACCCCGATATAAAAGCGGAAGGCTATGCGCCTATTCCCCCCAAAACTAATCATTTAAAATTAACTTCCTGCAGGTTATTTACAAAATTAATTGGCATCTAGATCTTAAAGCTTTCATTTACACTCATGTTTTATCCTAAGGTAACTTTTTCTCAGAATAAAGATAATTTTTAATTCTTTATATTTCAGTATCCAGCTTTTATTTGTTAATTTTCACTAAGTATTGTTTTTCATTAAATTTTTAATATAAATCTAAAAAATGACTAGTAAATGTATCATGGTTTTATTTTTTAATTTAAATGATTACTCTTTCCTTTTTAGGACCACCATCTGAAATTTTACCCAATTATTTGGAACTCTTGACCGATGAGGAATTAGAAATTGCAGAACCTTCTTCTAAAAATGAAGCCAAGAGTGACCTAAAGAAATCAACTTCGCTTGATAGCGTACTTCTTGAAGAACACAAATACAGTGGTAAAACTCATATTTAACTTTTTCTGGAAACAGTTGTTTATTGTACTGTTATAGGAATTAGCTACTGTTTTTGGCCTATCCCCATTGTAGTTTTTCAGTAATTAGGAATCATTTTTGAGCTTATTTTTAAACTTGGCCAACCTGGTTTTTATTTGTTGAAGTTCCATTCATTCCAAATATCATAGTTATATTTAAATTTTATATATCACTAATGAACAAAACTATTATTAAATAATATAAAATCAATTAAGCATAGTTTCAATTCTATTTACTATCGATATTAAGTACAATATAGTTTTAGTACAGCTAAATTTGAAATGGGAATATGACCCGACTTGAAGAGAAACTACCCATTGGTAGCATTCCAATTATAGTTCTGTATTAGAAGGTCCCAAGGCCATTCTTCTTTCAGACGCCTCGGAGGATTGCCAGGAATCGAAGAGGATGCAAGATTAGAAACAAGATGGTTTAGATGGGCCTGAAGTTTATTATGGGAGTATAGATATCTGGTTTGGTCTAAGTCAGTAACATATGGAATAGTAAGGTCATTATGGATAATTTTATTTATGACCAAGTAGGAAGCATTAAGAATTTCGGATTGAAGGATTGGATAGAAGAGGAATTTTAAGGATGTAGTGGAGTCCTAAACTTAATTTGAAATGAAATTTCACTCCATTCAGAGCAAAATCTACTCCTAATACCGGATAATGAATATTTTACTCAAATACTGTTTTAGTATTGTGGAATTTAATCGCTACTTCTGATGATGATTGACTATCAACTGAAGTAGTGATTGAATTATTGATAGTACAGTTGACTCCTGGTTATCCGTCCTCGTCGGGACTGAGACTTTGCCAGTTAAGCAGGAGAGCCGGTTAATACGGAGGGTATAAAATAAAAAAAAACTCCGATATTAATTCAACTTCTATATTGCAGAAAAATCTTAAAAATTTTATCTTTCAATGACACAATTTGTTTTCTTTTTTCACTCATTTTGTCACACTAGTTAATTGAATGAAAGGTGCAACACAACTGAAAAGAAAATCGTAGTACACAAAGAAAAACCTTTTTCAAAGAAAATGTGTCATGTCAAATGTCCGTAATATATGCAGTTAGAGTACTAAACAGTACTGCGTTGGCAATAACGCAGTATTTCATATCATTTTTGAGAAAACATGAAATGTGATCAAAGCTGAACTATTGTCATGAATTATATATATTTTCTTCAAGACCATTAATTAATTATTTGTACTTTTTTCCCAATTATATCAGTATTCTCAGCCATTAAATGAAAAATTAAACCCATTACACATATTTGGTTTTGTATTTCTGATTAGGCGAGATCATATCTGGTTCATATAATCATCAGTTAACTCTTGTAAAACAGAATGTTCAGAACTTACTCCGCAAAACCCGTTAACAACATGTTGTAGAGGTAGTCTTAATATTTATTCCGGTATTTATTTAGTTTGAAATAAGATCTACAAATTATGAAAATGTGTTCAAACTACAATTTATTGAAATGAACATATTATCCAATTCTTCATCAATTAAATAAGTCGGGTATGGAATCTTGAGAAGCACGAAACCTAGAACCCCTTTGGATTAACGATTGCGGAATGAATGAAAAAACAGAAAGACAGCATGTTGTGTATTTTTCATTTCTTTTTTTCACTTTTCTATTAAATAAATGAAGGATAAGGATTACTTTGAATAGATTTGTTTTATTAAGGTTTGGTCAATTGTAAAAAAAAAAATAATAATAAAAAAAAACCTTTTTGTCTACATTCCAATCTATTTAAAATCTATTGAACCGCAACACAACAAAAATTAAATTTATTACCAGTGGTTGAGAATCTCACAAAGTGCTTTTAAGGATGTTAGAAATTTTTTTTTGTTTCTTTCACCACTACCGCCGATTAATCTGGAGAGCCCTTTAAGTGGGAGTATACTTTAGTTAAAGTTGAGTAAATTTCTCAGTACTTTGTACTCAGAATATTTTTCATCCATCTCTATTAACTATTATATGAATTTTTCCTTATTTAAATTGCTCATGACATTCTTAAGTATAATTTAAAGTAAAAGGTTTACCTTGGAGGTTATTAATATCAAAAAATCAGTCTCCATATTTGACTTATTTAATTTTTTTAATTTTTCAGGTAATATTGAGATGAAAGTATATTTGAAATACTTCTCCTCTATGGGCTGCTTTGTGATGTTATCGATTCTACTTTCTATGCTTCTGATGCAAGGTACAAGAAACGTTGTTGATTTGTGGCTTTCAATTTGGGTCTCCAGTCTTTCCAATGGCACAAATGTTACTACAGTCGATTTGATGGAAGGTAATGATTCAAATGAAGAGTCCATGTTAATAATGATTTCAGTCATAAACAATTTAAAAGAAAAGTTTCAAGTTATATAATAAATTTTCACTATTTGATAGTTATAAAATAAAATTCTTTAAACCCGTAGACTACTGATAATCGGTATGATTTAAAAAAAAAAAATGATAGAATTGACCCTAATTTTCCCCACAAAAATTAGCTGTCCAACTCATTTTATATTAAAAAATGCTGCAAATTATTATATAATGGTTTTATTATTTTCAAACAATTTAACATCAAAATTAACATTACTTTTTATGTAACATGAAGGAAAATATATAAATTGTGGGTTGATGGTTGACTGTAGTGAATAATTGAAGAGAAGGACAGTTGGGGCGATCAGTCAAAATAAAAATTAGTAAAAATAAATAATTATATTTATTTGCCAACTCTTTCCTGCTATAATACGTTTGTCCTTCCACGCTCCTTCAATTGACCATGTCTATCTTTCTTATCTTAGTTTTCTCCTCTTTCCTGTCACTCTATTTTCCATATTTCCATCTCTATTGTTCATATATTGATACATTTACTCATTTATCATACGCAGATTTTACAATATCTCAATTTTCTATTTATATCTATTATTTCCTTATATGTCTCCATATTCCTTTTCTCTGTTTTATATTTTATTCTAAGATTCTATGTTGCCTTATTTTGATTATATTTATTTCATTAGTCTGTACTTTGTTGTTGTTATTATTTATTTCTTAGTTCTTTGTTATTGTTATTATTCTACCTACTTTATTATACTTTAATGTTCACTCTATCTACTTCATTTTACTTTAAGTTTTTTTCCACCTACATTTTTTACTCTATACCTTTGATCTTTTTAATTTTAATTCTTTATTATTCAGTGCTTATACTTTCTCATACCTATTGTTATCTAGTTTTTTCTTAGCCCTGATAAAGGCCTGAACTTTAGGCCAAAACGTCGGCAAATATAAAAATAAATATAATTATTTATTTTTACTATTTTTTATTTAAGAGTGCCCACCTTAAATTGTCCGAGTGTGCCCAAGAGAGGGTCTCCCGATTCTAAGGTTGATCCACAGCTGATGTAACAGAATAAACAATTACCTGCCATAGCCAAATTCAAGTCTGAAGCTTAGTAGTACAGTGTCTTACTTTCAAAGTTACCTCGCTCATTTTTATTGTTACCAATATGAATGATATCACTATTTGATATTGAATCTTACTCCTTACGAGATGGCATTACAATCTCAGTTTTCACAAAATTTAGACTAAAACCTTTCTTTCAGTGGACACCTCAATCACTATTAACTACTTTTTTAAAAAAATCATTTCTTGTTTATCTTTGTCTATGTTCTTCAAGATTTTATTGTTTGCATTTTATTTTGTAAAGATAAAGCATTGATTTTCTATTTTTATTTAATTTTTTTTTTTAGTGGAAGAATATTACCAGGACAATACAACTTATTACTTGATTGTTTACTGCTCGCTAGCCGGTGCTAATTCATTATTCACGCTTGCTCGAGCGTTTTTGTTTGCTTATGGTGGTCTAAGAGCGGCAAGGAGATTGCATGATACACTCTTACAAGTTGTTATTAGGGTGAGAATTATTTTAAATTTTGTTTACTCAACATAATATTAATTGGTTTTCATAATTTATTTTTTTGTTAATTTTCAGGCTAAAACTTATTTTTTCGACATTACTCCAGTCGGCAGAATTTTAAACAGATTTTCTTCCGACATTTATACAGTTGATGATTCCTTACCATTTATTTTAAATATTTTATTAGCCCAGTTCTTCAGTGTTGTAGGTAAGTTATATTATATTGTATTAAGATATGTTTACTGGTAATATATACTCTAAGAGAATTTCACAACAATAATGTGAATCACAAGTTAAGTTCTGACGGAGGATCTTTGCCAAATGGGTTTAATTGGCAGCAAATTTAGTCTTACCAATTTCGTTTTTTCTATACAGTAAATTAGTTTATTATTCATGAAAAACTTTAGGAATTCTGATTACTATCAGATAATATACTTATTTATCAGATAAATATACTTATTTTGCTCCGGTGGTAGACTCTCAGGTTTTTGGATCAAAATATTTCCTTTTATAATTAAAAAAATCCAAAATAAATTCTCCACAGTTTTAAACAGAAAAATGGTGAACTACAGATGAATAAACAAAAAAATCAAACCTATCTTCTAAAGAAAAGTGATAAGGAAAGTTCCTTGAAACAAACACCCATAGCTCTGGAGCCAGGACCCAAAAATCTATCTCATCGCAGCAGAAGGTTTTAATTGTATATTATGAAAGTGTATGTTATTCTGAGTAAAAACAACCTTATCTGCCGTTACAGAACCGCTGCTTTCAAAAATGGCAGCTTGTTTAAATAAATATTAGGCCAGTAGGATCGAAGGAGGATCGAAACGAAAAATCCATTGTGAAAAATGTGAGAAAAGTTTTAATTTATTTTAACCTGTATATATGGTTTTAAACATGCAAAAAACAAGATTCCTAACATTGAAAACCAAGGGAAAACTTTTTACAGCCAAAAAAGTCAGATTTTTTCGATATTTTTTGTTTTTTTCACCTATAACTCCATAATGACGCAACAAAGCGAAAAATGTGTTCTTTAATCAATTAAATAACATTAAATTTTGCGTCAAACAAGAACATAAACTGTATAATTTGGTTACATGGTAAGGTATAAAACCATGGTCAACCAACACTGATTTTTACCAAATTTGTCAAAAACAGAGACAAATTATTATAAATGGCCTTGTAACTTTGAAAGGAGTCCCCTAAGAGGAAAAACTCAAGGGATCTAAGTTGTAGAGCATCAAATTTTGCGTCCACTGATTCCTGACATTTTTATTTTAGGCTAATAATATATGTCGATTCGGGATTCGTTATTTGGTATCTTTCGACACATCATTTATCAAAATCCTCCGCTGTTGTGAGGTGCAAAAGAGGCTTATATTGCATGTAAGAGATTCTAAATAAAAATAACTTAGTAGAATAGACACCCATTCTGTTGAAATATTGAAAATCACGTTTACCTATATTACCAATTTTCTAACCATTGGGAGGCTACCCATTTTGTTCGGAGTAAGTGACCTACATTAAATTAGTTGTTACTCACTTGATGCAAATTTTGATGCTTTACAACTTTGATTCTACTGGTTTTTCCTCTTAAGGAACTCATTTCCAAGTCGCAGGGCCATTTATAGTAATTTGTCTGTGGTTTTATACTTTGTCACGTAACCAAATTATAAGGTTTATGTACTCGTTTGACGCAAAATTTAACGTTCTTTAATTTATTATGAAATACATTTTTTGGTTTGAAGCATCGTTTTGGGGTTATAGGTGAAAGAACAAAAAAAAAGTTTTCCCTTGGTGGCCTGCATTAACAATTTTTTTTTTTACATGTCTAAACCAATGTATACAAGTTAAAAAAATATAAACTTTTCTCATACTTTTTGCAATTGATTTTTCATTTCGCAACGATGATTGCAATTACTGGCCTAATATTCTTTAAATCAGCCGCCATTTTTGAAAGCAGCGGCTATGGAACGGCAGACAAGGTTCTTTTTACTCAGAATAACATACACTTTCGTAATTTACAATCAAACCTTTGCCTGCGATGAGGTCAATTTTTGGGCCCTGGCTCCACAGCTACGAGCCTTGCTATATTAAAAACTCAACCAATCAGCTATTGTGGCATGATATCGCCTCAGTTTAAGGCATCACCCTCTTAAGTATTCTAGCTTCAAATCTACTCCTGTTTGCACTCTTTTATTGGCCATATAATGCTTATTACATTTTAATAAGTTGAAAACTGTCTAATACTGGAGAGTGTCTATTACTGGTACATTTAGTCTTTATATATATTATTTATATTAAATTAATAATAAGCTATACTGAACTTACCTGATGAAATTTTTTTTTTTTTAAATTGTTTTACTTTTTGTTAAAAGATAATAACTTTTGATCACTTGTCTCAATCATGTTAAATGAAGTGTGTATTTTCCTCAGGAATGATATTTATTACAATCTACGGTTTACCATGGGTTTGGCTCGCCTTGGCTCCGTTGATCCCTGTTTACCATTGGCTGCAGAACCATTATCGGCTGACTTCGAGGGAGTTGAAGCGCTTGAGCAGCATGAGCCTCTCCCCGATGTATACCCACTATAACGATACTTTACAAGGATTGGTGACCATCAGGGCGTTTAAAGCCGCATCTAGGTATTGTGTGGTTATTACATTCTATAAAAACTAGTAGGTCCGTGCGAAATTGCGCACAGTATATTGCTTAGTGTTCAAATAATAAATAATAAAATAAACTAATGCATCGTATCATAAAAGAAATCAATTGTTACTTTTTTGCTAAATATAATCGACAAAGGAAAGAAAAATTAATTTAAAACTTCTTTAATGTTTGTAACCAACATATTTGAAAATTTCAATAAGCTGTATTGCTTCTAATAATTGTCCGATTTCGATGAATTTTTTTTTCTTTCTTTTTTTAGGGAATTTAGTAATCTTTTATATAATCATAAACATGACTGAGGGATAAGTGTGTAATTTTTTAGTTATTTGCAAATACAGTTTCTTTTCTTTCATAACTTTTTTGTCTGAATTTTCTGGGTGATTTGACTATTTTTCCTCTCTGAAGGAGAACCAAACCTTCAATATCGGTGACTCAATTTTGTGGATTTGATGAAGAATAACTGATGATATGGCTTAACCGACAAAAAATACCTTTGATAAACAATATAATCTCCTATTCTCTCTATCTTAGGGACCTCAAGTCGACAAAATGAGACATTTATTCCATGACAGTACTACAATTAACTTAAGGTTGTGTAGATGCGAACTCTTTGCCTTGCATTATCTCGAAAATAGTACCTTTTGGGGCTTAAAAATGTAGGGCCCGATAGTTCCGAAGGAACTATCCGGGACTTGGTATACTCATCAAAATCTTCAAAGCCCAATTTGTCCCTATTGATCTACTGACACCACCGTTCCAGTATTGAAGCCTAGCAAAATGTTTATATTGACTTTATTCATTTTAGAAAGAAAAACAAATGCGGAGAGTACGATTCACTAAACCCCCGTGAAATTCTGAATCCAACGGTACCCCAATCATGGTATTTGAGCATGATAGGAGCTTATATTTGGTACAAAACCGATTTCGAGCCTCACTGCAATAATATATGTGGGGATCATTATTACATATACCTAGCTATTCACCCTTGTACTCACAGAAAATAATAGGAATGATTAAAAAAGTGATATAAATTGTACCTTTAATGTGTTAATAATAATTTTATAAAACAAAAATACATAATAGTAATTTACAAGAAACAAATTAAATTTATTTTTAAACTATATTAAATATTTATAGTTAAATAAACATTACATTTTAAATACAACATATAACTTTTAAACATTCAAGTTTTAGTTTGGAGAGATTTATTTTCTGATTACTCTCTTATTTTTGGTGCTTACAACCTTTCTAAAATAAGCTATTACATTTTTGCGGCTCCCTTTCTTGCTACTTTTTATGGTCATAAAATACTCCAAGAAGCATTTAATATTATTTTTTTTTTTATTTGGTTTTCTCAAGTTTGATTTGTCATTTTTTAGATTTAAACACGATAATGGCTGTTACTTAGAATGCAATCAAAAAGCCCAGCTGAGCAGCAGCGCAGCTTCACAGTGGTTAGGCCTGAGGCTGCAACTGATCGGAGTAACGATGCTTACTAGTGTTGCCTTTTTAGCCGTTCTTCAACATCACCTTGATTTAGCTGATGCAGGTTAATATTTTATTAAATATATTCTTACATTTTTCATGAGGATTTTAGTAAATAACAATAATAAATTTGGCATTTTAAATTATTATTTTTAAATAGCAATCCTTATTGGAGGCCTTATGGTTTCTATGAATACAATTACACTTCATGTGACATGAATTCATGACACTATGAAACACATTAATGTTATGCTAACTTTGAACTTGCACCAACTGAATACGAACAAGAAACAGACTGAATATGTACTAACTTGTATCTGTGAAACTGTCGAGGTGTTCATGTCTTCTTTAAGTAAATAGGTTAGTTCTATATGCAAAATAGTAAGTTATAGAATATCTTGCTAGATATTTCTTGTTCACACTTTTTAAAACTACAACTGATATTATTTGATTTTAATTTGGATTATATGTTCTAAATTGAAAAAATAAAAAAAGTTTGATGTTTTAAGTTTTATTTTAAACAAATCACATTGAATATGATTTGAAACTGTGAATAAGGACATCAGTTCTTTAAACTTCTCACATATTTTTTGGTAAAATAATTGTTTTCTTTCCAGGGCTTGTTGGTCTAGCTATATCTTACGCCCTCGGACTTACTGTCTCTCTCGGAGGAATTGTGAATGCATTTACGGAAACCGAGAGAGAGATGATTTCAGTCGAGAGGATTAATCAATATTCTCCTGAAACAGATAAGACTTTCGAAATCGAAGAACAGAAGTATTCTATCGCTGTACCGTTTGGATGGCCTGCGCAGGGAGTTATTTCCTTCAATAATGTTTACTTCAGGTATAGGTAAGTACTTCTCTAATCAGGAAAACAATTTATGATTATTATTATTTTATTGGAGTGATTAAAAAAAAAAGAAAGTTTTTAATTAATCGTTATTTATTGACATTTATTTCTTTCAATATTGTTATTATTGGTGTCTTTGTAATCCTAATACTATACTGAGTCATTTTTTAAACATAATGACTCTCTGTGAGGCTCAGTACTTGTTTGGCAATCTTTCAGTCGAAATGATGTTGAAGTATAAAATTTAAGTAATTCTGTAACATTACTGGAGAAGAAAAGTAAAAGGATTGTTAATCCACACTGTAGATCTATTTTCATCAAATTACTAACATCCATCTAGAACTCTCTGAACAGCTTTATCTATAACTTTTTTATATTATGGAAATTCTCGGAAATGGGGAATTTTCAATCTGGAGATCGGTAAACTTTGTCTATTTAATGAGCTACTAAAAACTCATGAACACCCATTTGCTTTAGACTTAAATCGTAAAACAATTTTATCACCAAATTGAGAAAAAAGGAGGCCTACAAAATTATTGGCTGTTTTGGCATGACCTCCACCCTCAATATGTCAAAATAAGTAGGTTATATTAGCAAAACAATCCAATGTTTTTTTAGGTCCTTTTTTTCTCGATATTGTGATAAAATTATCTTACCTTTTAAATGGTTTACATGAGGTTCATTTGATTAATTGATTTAATGAGAAAACGCCCTATTCCTGAGAATTTTAATTTTATAATAACACTGAGCCATACACGGAATTTTAGACGGATATTGAAAATTTGTCTTCTGCGACAAAAAGTGGATTTACTGAAGCAATCTTAACAGTGGATAGACCAAGGCCAGCTTTTCTACCGGTCACAAGACATTTGAAACATTGCAGTAGGTAAAAATTGGAATCAAAGACTTTCTTCGTTTGAAACCCATAGACTATTACCGGCAAGGAATCAAACTGCTGGCTTCTTCTAGATGGCAACTAACCATACAACATTATAAGGGATTCTAGTAAAGTTCACTCTATAAATATCCTGGCATAAAATAAAAATAAACATCTTAAATCTTTCAGTGATGAAAAATAACTATATACAAAAAAATAACAACCTTCTACTAAAAAAATAAAAATGCATATGCAGGCTAGTGAGAGCTAAAGAAAAGAATAGAAAAATAGGCTTACCAGGGAAGAAAAAATTACAAATTTAAGTTGCAACTCCACCAAATATTAGGCAGCTTGCACCGTTACACACAGCACTGAAAACCATGTTGCCACTAAATAATTACTATGGTGTCACTATTCAAGCGACAAACAACAATAATACTGAACAATGCAGTAGTTAAGCTGCTAGCAGATTAGGTTGAGTTGAACAGGGAGGATCGACACTAACAGGGAGGTAGAGCTAAAATAAGAGGAAGGTAAATGTACCGGAGAAGTCATGATGTCACAAGGGAGTGGTAAAAACATAATGGATTTTAAAGTAAGGAGATGGTCCGAGGTGGCGTTCGTAAAAAGACTAAATAGTGAGAAAACTATTTTATTTAAAGCCGATGTTTTGATCTGACTTTGCAGGTCTTCTTCAGGGCTAGAATGGACAAGATACAAAAAGATATAGAAAAATGTGGAAGTTACATAATATTTAGATAAAACTTACAAATAATGTGAATAAATAAACTTATTAAAATTATAAACAGTGTGAATACACATTGTTTATAAGTTTTATTTAAATATTATGTAACTACCACAATTATCTATATCCTTTTGTATCTTGTTCGTTCTGGTCCTGAAGGGTTGAAATGTTGGCTTTAAATAAAATAGTTTTCTGTCTCCCAGATCGTCTCCTTATTTAATAATATACCAGTCAACCATCAAGTATTCAATAATGGATTGTACTTCAAAAGTTAGAAGAAATTTTATATAAGAAAAGAATAAACCTCATTTTTTTCTGCTTACTGCAATGTAAGTGATTTATTCTCTGAGTAGCAATGGAATATAGATATAGAATATATTTTTTATTCTTGTATGATTGTCCTTTATTTAATGATTTTATTGATAGTTGTTTTATTGCTTCCTTTAAAAATTAGATGGACTTTTAAACATATAGACTGTTAACTACGGTTTTAATTGTCGACAGGAGCCATCTTCCTTATTCCTTGACCAATGTAAATTTCACAACGTTCCCGGCTGAGCGGATAGGAGTTATTGGAAGAACTGGTGCTGGGAAATCTTCACTCATTGCAGCTCTCTTCAGGCTTTGCGAAGTCTCCGAGGGTTCCATCACGATAGACAACGTTAACATCAAACTCATTTCACTCAGAGAACTTAGGTAATTTTTTATCTTAATTTTAAAGGAGTATGATAACGATGTATAATATTATAATAATTATCTAGAGTCTCCCGATAATAACAATAAACCAGCCTCAACAGAAAAAAGATTTATCAGAATATCCATCAGGATGGGTCGGGCAGAAGACAAGTTGTGATCTTAGCGATAATTCAGTGATTACCCAAATTATTTTTTCTTTTAGTTTATTATAAAATTTGTACATTATTTATTACTAATAAATTTTATTTTAAACTACTAACTAAAATGTGAAAGGATCAATTATTTTGTAATGGCGAAGACATTTTTTACTGTAGACAATATTGGAGGGTTGCAGCCAGACAGAACACACAAACAAATTTAAAAGATTTTTATTTCATTTTATGCTCTAATTATTATTTAGTTTATTATACAGAACTTGGTTATTTGGAATCAGGAGTGCTTTAAATGTGTATTTCCGTTGAAAACTCAGATTAGAAATTTTTCAAGATCGCAATAGTTTCTCTTATAGTTCGGTACAGACCTCTTTTTTTCGAATTATTAACACATGTCTAAAACTTATGAATGGCTTCATTTTATTGTAACATACAACTATTTTATTCCGAAAATTTTCGGAAATGGAGCGTTTTCAATCTTTGAGGCATGTCTAACCTCATTATTTTGGCATGTTGAGGGTGGAGGTCATGCTGAACACCCCAATATTTCTGTAGGCCACTTTTTTTTTCTCAATTTTGAATTGACAAAGTTCACCGATTTCCAGATTGAAAACATCCCATTTCTGAGAATTTTTGTAAATAAAAAAATTTGTAAGTTAAGATAAAATGAAATCTTTCATGAAGTTTTAGACAAATGCTAATTATTTGAAAAAAAAGGGTTCTGCACCGAAACTATTACTATATATTTCATTGGTTAGAGGAAGTAAATAATATTCATTACATAGAATCATCACCGGGGTTAAAAGGGAATCGAGGAAGCATAATCGTTTGTTTCATTATCATCTAGCAGGAGTTCATTTTTTATTTTTTTTTACATATGCTTATTTGTATTATATGTTTATTTACAGGTCTCGGATGGGAGTTATACCACAAGATCCGTTCATATTCAGCGGCAGCGTGCGATCGAATCTGGATCCTTGGGATCACCACAGTGACGGGGAGCTCTGGGATGTTCTCAGGAAAGCTAATTTGGTAACAATTATAAGAAATCTCGGTGGTTTGAGGACAGCCCTTACTAAGGGTTCTCTTTCATCCGGCCAATTACAGCTGCTGTGCCTCGCTAGAGCACTACTTCACAACGCAAAGGTAAAGTTTTTATTTTTCATAATTAATTATAGTCATTTTCAAATTTATATATTTGTTCAAACGAATAATTATACTTGAATCTGATACCTTAGATCTGGGTATACATGTCAAGTTTTAAATATTCAAATTGTATACCATAAAACAGCCTCTCATTTAATATATTTTATTTATATCTTGCAATTTTTGAGAAGCTTTTGATATCTAGAGCACTATATTTTCTATCCAAAAATTAAATACACCCTTAAATATCTCCTTCCATATAAGTCCCATCAAACCCTAGTTTCCTCTGTTGTTTTCTCCCACTTTGACTATGCCTGTATGGTATACGATGGGCTCTCGGGAGATTTCGAAACCAAACTTAATCGCCTAATGAATTTGCGAAATACGTTTTCGTTTCGGAATCTCAAGAGATACGCATATTACCCAGTATTGAAGTAGCTCTACACATGCTATCACTCTCAGAACTTCCTAGCTACCTTTCTGTACCAGATCATCTGAACTCATCAATTCTCCTTTATTTTTCACAGCTTACAATTTAAATATTCCATCCAATCCTGTCCCACTAGATCCCGTACTTCCGACCTCTCTACCCACCTCCTCGCTGAACTGCTGCGTTTGACAAATCCTTTATAATTCAAGCCGTCTCCTGGAATACAATCCCTCCCGATATCCGACATACAATCAGTTTCCTCATTTGAATCTCTCCTTTTTAAGCACCTACTCCTTTCTCAATCCAACTGATTTCAAAATATACCTAAGAGAACTATCGAAGTACCACCAGAGACTATTTCTGTTTATTTATGTTATTTTAGTTTCCTTTGTTTGTCTTATATATATATATGTACGCTTTTCTTTTCTTTTTCTCTCTCTTTCTTCTGTATTTTTACTTTTAATTAACTATTATTGTAAATATTTAATTAATTTATGACCACACAGACATGCATTCTGTACTTATAAATTGTTCTAAAGAGACATCAGTCCCAGAATTATAAAATATATTTTCATTTCATTTCATTAAATTATAATATTAATAACTCGTTATATAACTTCGTTTTGTAATTGTCATGCAAACTAATACCATTCCGTATGTTTATTCTTTACTATTTCTATTAAAAAAAATAAATAAATTATTTGAAAATTGTTCATTGTTTGATTTCAGTATTATGGAAACTATTAGCAACCAAAAATATCCAACAACTTATTTTATTTTCCATTATATAAAGTTTTATTATTTTTATATCTTCAAAATTGATCTTGTGTCTGAGATATTTAGTTAACGTGCTTTTATAGTTTTATACACCATGTGTTTTTATATTTAAATTTAATCCAAATTTTACACTATCCTTATTTGAGATTTCGTTTTTCATATCTGGGTATGCTTATCACGTTTTGTAAATCAATGTTTAAGATTTTTTTTTAAGAAAGTAGCTTTTAACCCAAACTTCTAAGAGTGAATACTTTATCAGTTGATCATTGCCGTAAGGTCTAAATAAATAATTGTTTCAGATCATATGCATCGATGAAGCCACTGCTAATGTCGACGAAGCTACTGACAGGGTCATACAGCAAATGATACGAAATAATTTTAAGCACAGTACTGTTATAACGATTGCTCACAGGGTGCGAACCATTCTAGATAGTCATAGGTAAGTGAAGATTTCTTATATTATTAGAATTTAAGAAAATTTTTCAAATATATTATTATATTTTAATGTCTGTCAAATAAAATAGAAATGAACTATTCACATTTAGTTCTGTTGTGTGTGTGTTTCTTTATTATTTCAATATTTATCTTTATTTCAAGAATTTGAATTCAACTCACCATAAAACTTTATTTTATCGAGTGTAACTTAAATTTATTATGGAAAAATTTTTTATTTAACTCATAAAAAGGATAATTACAGTTATCTAAATAAATGTATCAAGTAATATTTTAAAATTAAAAAATCTTTCATAGTAGTTTTAAAAGTATAAATTATGCAGTAAGAACTATTGCGAATTACTTTTTTTTTAATAACATTTTTGGACCATGACCTGAATTGTAATAATTTCTTTCTATCTCTTCCATTTTTATTTTATACAGCTCTTATATTTAATAATTTTTTTTTTAGGGTTTTAGTAATGAGTAATGGTCAGGTGTTAGAATTCGATACTCCCAGTAGGTTACTCAAAGATAAGTCTTCTTATTTTTACCAAGTGGCCAACGATTCAACATTTCTTTGAATGAATTGATATTATTGACTGGGATAACTATGCCATTGTGATATAGTCGTAATTGATCATCAAAAGTATAATTATTATAATGATGACCGACCGAGGCTGTAAAACACACCATGTAACGTAAGAACATACTTAAGATATAAGCATACAATAGTTGTATATAATTCTATTATTTGATATTTTGAACCAATTATATGTAGGTCTTTATCATGGATACAGAATAAAAATAATCATGAAAAATATAAACAATACATTTGTTGTTTGTATTCTTTGATTTTCTTGTACTGATCTTACTCGTGATTACATTTATCTATATGTATATATAAAGTTCTTACGTAGCGATCCTATTATATTTGTTACCTTTGTCAGGATCTACAATGAAAGTTAAGCACTTACAATGTCCTTATTTTGATTTTATTTTATGTATGAAATCATTAAATTTATATTTTAAAAAAATAATGGTTTTACTCTTTGAAATTCCAGCACCTCTTTTTTTGTAAATGTTTTAAATTTGATTTAATTACATTTAAATATATTTATTAATGGTATTTCCCTTTGTCTATAATTTTATTGATTCAACTTTTTTAAAGAAATGTGTAAGTAAGCACCATTTATCAAACTCTACAGGAACCACATATTTTTGCCTGACAACATTTATTACATCATTTTTTTGTCATGAAATTAATTATATATAATGCACATCTTCATTCTAGCTACTAGCCATTAGTCATAAGAAAGTAAATAGTCAAACAACTAAAATTAATTGTTTAGTATAGATCTTAATGACAGAAACGTTTCTCTTAAAATCAATATTTTGGATGTACCTTTTGGAATTGAATTCCATTTCCGTATCCTTTAAATTAACATAATATGCTTACAGGTCAGAGTTTTGCTTTATATATAATTAAAAATATATATATATAAATATGAAAATATTTTTAAATACTTGAGTATATTGTATTTTAATTTTTATAATTATTCAATAGTTTATAATAATTACTTGGTAAATTAGAATGTAATTTCATTTTAAGATTTGTAGGTTCTGTAGAAGTATTTTATATATTTTACAGTTGAACATCTGTATATCGAATATTATAAGGTTCTTATATAGAGAAGGAAAATTTAGAAATATATAAAGAATGCAAATTCTTGTCTTTGTCGCACTAAAAACAAATACATCTATTCTTAACGGTTTGGCTGTAATTTAGTTTATATTTTATATCTTGAGTAGGATTTTAGTTAGGTTTTTCGCAGTGTAGGTTTCTGCCTATTAAATAGCAATCGCTTCACTTTTATAGCATGTTTAACGTTATACTATAACCTCAAGCATTATTATGACGCAATGTATTGTCAAATTATGTAAATAAATGATAATTTAAAAATTAGAAAAATTCTTTAGTTGGGCAAGGAAGTATCACGGGCAAGTTTTTTATGATATTACATGAATTACATTTCTAAAATGTTTCTGTCGATTTAATCATATGTTAAAGATTTAAATCGTTTATGTTCTCCTTAAAATCTTTCTACTTTTTTTATAATAGAATCATGATTTTGGTAAATTGTTTATAAGGTGTTTATCATGACTCCATATTTTTTTGCCATATCTTGCTGTTCATATCCAAGGCCATGGATGTATACCAAGGGCCCTTAGAACAATTCTTAGACACATAACAAATATTAAATTTCCTATTAAAACTCAACCTGCAACAAAAATATGTAAATACACTACATAATCAGTACATTATAGATGAAATGTTTTGTTTAAACAAATTTAGTATATAAACATATAACCTCGTCAACCAGTTATAGGTTGGTTAGGCTGTTTTTACATTCATTTAACTATATATGAATTATATACTAAGCAAAAGTATTGCGATCGTGAAAAAAACTTTCGAATTCGATCTTTCTTTTTTTTGGAGTCATGTTCACTACAAGAAAAACAACATTAAACTGAATTTAAAATGAAAATACCACTATATGATAGCAAACATTTCTTTTTAAATATAGTTTTTTCCTAAGTCCCATTGTTATGTGAAATATTTTTTTTTTTTTATTTCATTACTACTTATTCTTATAGGTGTAAACTAAGTACCCTTTTTTTATGACAGTTTCATTTTTTATATATATTTTTTTGAGTATAGAAATTTTATTTGATATACAGAATATTTTTATAATAAAAGTTCAATGTTTCTAAAAAGCTTTGATGTATAGAGATTTTAATATATGAGAAGTTCAATATACAGAGGTTCGACTGTATATTAATGAACTGGCTATTTGTGATAAGATTGCTAACAGACTGGATTTGTCATCGTTTTATTTTTAACTTGTATCTATCTAATAAGTATAATTTGGGAGTTGATTGGTGTTATATTTTGTATATAAAAAATATTCTTAATTTGGAAGAATGTTATGTGTAAAATGGTATTTATAATAAAATTTTATTGTTTATTCTTTTGTTAAAGAATTCAGATTGTTACCTTTTTCTTTATACCCTGTATTTAGTTCACTTGACTAACCTTTGTTAAAGGAAGAAAGGTTTGTTGATCTTAATTATTTATATATATCTTTATATATATATATATATATATATATATATATATATATTAATATTAAATGATGTTATTTCATAGCCTTATTGAATAAGAAATACTTTGATAATAGTTTTATTATTTCAAAAAGTTTTATTTTTTAATTCTCAATTAAAGTATGAACAGAATCTTTCTCTTCATTATTTATCATCCCTTTTTTTAAAATCATCATCAACATTTCAAGATGATTTTTCCTCATTTTCTTGATCATTCAATATTTCTTTTTAATTTAACATTTGCTAATAATTCATTCTTCTGTTATTTACACATTATATATTAAACAATTTTTATTTTCTAATTAATAATTAAAATTTCCTAATCTGAAGTACATATTTATATTTAATATCGTACAGCATTTTACTTTCTTTAATAGTTTTTGTTATACAAGTGATAAAACTGATTTAGGAAGAAATCATTCCAATTCACGACAATGAATTCAAAAAATGAATTAATGAAAATCATGAAATGGAGTTGGCTGATTTTAGAATGTGGTGTATCATGTTATATATTTCTTACATTGGTTATCATTTCTAGCGATATTCTGAATTAAATTGTAATAAAAATAAGCAAGGTTGCCTTACTGTTTTATTAATGTTACAAAAGGAAAAAAAAATCACTGTAATACATACTTTGCATCAAAATACTGTTTCGTCCCTTGTTAACACATATTTGTCCGCATAACCAAAATTTGTCATTTCACAATCACCTATAGCCAAATGACAAAAATTCATCATTTTATCAAATTATTAACATCCGCCTGAAACTTTCTAAATAGCTTCATCTCATCGTAACCTACAAATATTTTATTTAGGATATTTCTCGGAATCGAGGTGTTTTCAATCTGGAGGTCGGCAAACTTTGTCTATTTAATCAGATACTAAAAACTCGTAAATATTCTTTTGCTTTACTCTTGGATCATAAGATAATTTGATCACAAAATCTATTAAAAAGGTGGCCTATAAAAATATCGGGCCGCTTGGCCTATGCAATCTTGTTATTTTGACAATTTGATGGTGTAGGTCACGCCTACACCATATTTTTGAACGCATACAACAGCTCAATATTTTTGAAGGCCATTCTTTTTCTCGACTTTGTGCTCATGTTATCTTAAGATTCAAGTGCAAAGCAAATGGGTCAATTAAATAGACAAAGTTTGCTGACCTCCAGATTAAAAAACGCCACAATTTTGAGAGTTTTCGTGTAGTCATTTTTTTAAGATGAGATTAAGCTATTTACGAAGTTTCAGCCGGATGTTAATGTAAAAACGGCTCTGTACTACGGACTAATAGATTACATTTAGCAAAATTATATATTTTATTTGCAAATTACTGAAATATCATGAGTTATAAGGAAAAAAAATGAATTTCTCTAAAAAAAAAAAAATTTATTAAATACAAAATATTTTAAATTAATTTTTAATGCTATTACTAAAATTAGGTCTACTTTAGTTTAGATATATATATATATATATATATATATATATATATATATATATATATATATATATATATATATATAAAATAAAAAATATTAAACATAATGGCATTATTATTAGTTTAATAATGTGATAAAGATATTTCTTGTTTAGTTAGATAAATAAATATGTTGCTACTAGAAAAGTGATTTAAACAAAACAGTAATTCAATAATAAATCTATCATACTAAAGCATTATCAATTGAAAAATATTCACTTGGTTATATTAATTTTTAAAAATAAACTTTATTGTTTGGAAATCATTAGTAATTACATTTTTCATTGTTTTTAATTATGTGATTTAAATAATAAGAATAAGTCAAGAAATTGTGATTCTATATATTGTACATTCCCTAAATGTTTTAAAAATACTTTATTATTTAAAATTAAATTTTCATTAATTTTAATAATATGATAAAGGTGGCATGGTTTTATTTGAACACTTCCAATTTTAATTCAATAATATTTTATCGACATAACATAATAACCAATCCATCATAATAAAAAATCATCAATTAAAAAAAATGTTCATCCTAATATAATAATTTCTAAAAATAAATTGTCTCACGTACAAAACATTAAAAATTGAATTAGATTATTTAATGATGTGAGTTAGATAAGCCTTGTAAAGATTTGCAAATTTACTAGACCATTTCATATAATAATAAAATAAAATAATAATAAGTCTATAAATGCAATGGAAAAAGAAACAGTTCATCATATATTATTTAAATGCCCCATATATAATAATCTGGGATTAAGAACTTCAAGGGTATGGGAAATCTTAATGGGATCTAAATATTCTTTCCAACCACTATAGAAAATATGAGAAAATTATATCTGGAAACGCTGGAAACTGATTGCGCATGTCGGATATCGGGAGGGATGCTATTCCAGATGGAGACGGCTTGAATTATAAAGGATGTTATCTTGATATATGT